GGTGCTTTTCTTGGCCCAGATGAGACGGACATTCAGTGTTATGGCAAGAGGTGTGCATCGAGTTTAAGGGAGAGCTAATAAAGGAAAAATCTCTGATTATTTTGTTAATCCAACTTTGGAAGAATGAAACATCATCTCCACTGGGTTGGTCTCTTATTCTTCATTCTTGCTCCTGTGTTCTGATGTTTGGAGTTTTATTTGAGCAAACATGCTGCTGGCAAAAACGTCTTGTAGAGCACCCCAGTGCGCATGGCAGAGGTGTCAGAAAATGTTCAAAGTGGTGAAATTCCAACAACTTGAACATGTGTGAAGGGTGTGATGGGGTGAATTGTTTCCTGAGGTGTCCTGGAAAATTCAACTGAGGAAAATCATTCTTAATCTGAATCGAGGTGGCTTTTTGACTGTGTAAATGGTTTCTATCTCGTCCACCTTCCTGAGCGCCCTGCTGGGTTACAGAGTGATTTCAGGAGCGCTTTGTGAGACTGCAGCGCACCTCTTGCTTTGGCTGAAGCTCTGCGTGTCGGATCGCGTTAACGCACCCGGTCCCTGCCCTGGCAGGGGGGGGGCGCAGGTACAGCCCCGCACAGCGCCTTGCTCCCGGCACCGCCACTTTCCCCTTGGCTCCTTAGGAAGCCAAGCGGTGAAGGGACCTCTGGTTCCCGGGGTGTCCTGGCAGTGCTGGCGCCTCCCGGGGCAGAGCCCCCCCAACGCTGTCCCTGTGTTCCGGTCCTCTTCGGCTTCCCTTCCTTTTCGCATCTCCTGCCCTGGCTCCTCCTCCTCGGGGGCCGGGGCCCTGCGGGAAGGCAGCGGCTGCTGAGCACCAGTGGCTGGGGCGGCAGCGGGAGGAGGGCCGCCGGCACCGCGCTGCTCCTTTAAGGCGCGGACCGGCACCGGCAGCGGCGGGAGTGCGGGACGGGAGGTAGGTGCGGGCGGAGCGGGCCGGGCTGGGGGTGTCGGTGGGGTTTTGCCGTCCGCTGCTTTGTTCACGTGTCCGAAAACTGCTTTAGAAGGGCGGCAGCGGGAGAGAGCGGAAAGAGGGGAGGAGGAGGAGGAGACCCGGCGGGGCGGTGAGCGCTGCCGGCCGGCAACAGGTAAGGACCGGTGTGCGAGGGCTGGTGGCCAGGGGCGAGTAATCCTCGGTGTCCGAGAGACGTTTCAGGGTCTCGGCTCTCTCATGAGTAAGCTCGGGGCTGATTTCAGACCCAGTCAGCCCCTTGGGGCGGCGTTCTCCGAGTTGACTCCCGCGGGGCTCGCTCAGCTTCCGCCGGTCCGGTCCCGCCTCGCTGCGGAGAGGCACCGCGGCTTGTGCTTCCGTTAGAGCCGTGCGGGGCCCGGGGCTCGCTCCACGCGTGTTGAACCAACGCGGGGGGGTTCGGTTGGGCCTATAAAAAGAAAACCCCAAACCCCGTGATATGGAAAATCTGAGTACAAAAGTTAGAGTAATACAGCGCATTTTGGGTGTCATCAGTTCTCATGTTTCTTTGCAAAAGTAAACCAGACTTTCTTCCTTGCTTCACAGATGAGCTCTGTGACACTATACAACAGGCTTTTTGTACAGAAGTCAGGTTTAAGTTGTAAAAACCACCTGACCTTTTATGGCTTGCTTAAAAAAGAACCACTTTTGGAGTTTTTTCCTCTATTTATAGAATGGAACTAAACAAGCTATGTATAATTAGGGGGAATGATTAAAAGTGGGTTTTTCATAATAAATTAATTAAAAACATATAAGAAGGCTTCTTGATATAAAAAGTAAAGCGTTTTAGAAATGAAAGGTTGCTGAAGCAGATCACGGTCTGTTCCATGAGTCCACAGCAATCCATCAGCTGAAGCAGTGCACTTGCCCAGCTCATCCCAGCCAAGCTGGAAGTGAGTGTGCTGCTCACGAATCCCGTGGCCTTCCTTGGCAGCTGCTAGCTGTGCACTCGGGTTTCCCCGGCAGCATCAGAGGAGTTGTGTTGTGCTCTCAGCGTTTAGGAACTCTGGAGTGGGCTGGGTGTGGAGCATCCCGTGTGCCTCTTGCTGAGCTGGCTCCAGAGAAGGGTGGGAGCAGGGGTTATGTGTCTGAAATGATGCATACTGCTGGGAAAGGAATGGGGCCCTAAATAAACAGTGACCGAATACCTCTTTGCCCTGATTGCAAGACCTTATTTTTACTGGCACTTAAATGGAATACAGTGTTTGGATGTGTCCAGTGCATTTTTTAAACAGTAGTTTGTTACCAAATGCAGAAAGTGTGACCAGAGGACTCTGAGCACTCCAACTTGGCATTCCAAGCCTAATGATTCATGCTTATGATTTAAAACTGAGGTTTAAAGTTCAGTTGCATATTGGTCCTTCTGGAAAATGCCTTGCTGTATTATTCTTTAAAACTTGAGGTAGTAATGGTAATTAAATGGGTAATGTAATGGTAGTTGAATGGGCTTACTGGATTTGATGCTGTATTTCAGCTGACGGAGCAGAAGGGTGTTGCATACCTAGCAGATTAGCAGTTCTCTATTAGATAGTAATTCTCTAGGGACTGATACCTGCTGGTAACTGATTTTATTGACTAAAAGGGATTCGGGGTGATTTCAAATAGGTGGGGAGGTTCTTTGATGTCCAGCTCCTACAAACCACCAAAAATTCCTGTCTGAGCTAATAACAGAGTCTCTGTGGCACCTCATGCATCCCAAGTCCAGCCATTAAGATGCCCTTAGAGGCATACAGCTGTCATGAGCTGGTTGATCGCCAGCTCTTGTTCATTACCCCATGGTGTAAAACTCGGGGTGGATTTTTAATTTTGGCCTTTTTACACTGTAGGAACCTTGCATTGCTTCTGGGGCAGCCACAACAGGGGTGGCAACTTGCCATATATGCCAGTGCTTAAGCACGACTCTGGTATTTGCCTCTTGGTGAATGTAACGAGGTCAGTAGAACAGAACTTAGGAAAAACATAGGTCTTCTTACTCACCTGAACTCATTGAACAAATGCTTTTAACAGCAGTATTTCTCCCTTCCTTGAGAGTGATCTCTCCTGCACCACATATTTTGTTCTGAACTGAAGGCTGGTAGTTCCCAGTGCTTTGGGGTGTAGAACCCATCATCCGTTTGTTTTGGGGGAGCAGGTGAGCTATTTAACTTGTTCCATGCTTGCATAGAATCAGGTCTGTTCAATACAGAATATCATTTCTTGAAAAAGCTTTGGGGAATAAGATTGAATTCCTACTGAAAGAGCTTGTGGGTTTACACCCCTTACGCTTATAGGGAAGAGTACAGGAAATGTAGATAAGACCTCTGTTTGCTCTGGTATCTTTCTGCAGTCATGCATAGGTGAAGGTCTTGAGAGGAGATGAGGGCAGGGAGCAGGGTGCCAGCCTGGCCGCACAAAGGGCAGCTGCAGGTTGGGGTGCTCTGCCCCTGCCTGGCTCTGCCTGTGCCAAGCTTAGGAACTCCCCTTCCACAGTTCTGTGAAGACACGTGTCCAGTGTGAAGCTGGTTTTCACCATGGTCTGCAGTGCCTTTTGAAACCATGTTGTCAGTTGAGCTCATTTCTGTTTACAATCTAATATTTAATGGTGGTGATTTCTAATATTGCAGGCAAATCCAGAGCAACAGCTCCCCCGGGCTCCTTTCTGCTTTGCTTTGAATTTAGATGGGGTTTTGGGTAACTGCTTTCATCGTTTCACTATGCAGATGGCTTCGTTTCTGTTGTGTAGGAGTTTCTTGTGCCAGCCAGGGAAGACTGAAAGGTATTTTTAAATAGGAAAACAAAGCTGGCACAGGGCTTGGGGAGGAAGGAGCCTGTTTGGAGTGCTTTGGGCTGGTCTTAGATTTACCTTCTATCAATTGGCTGGATTTTGATTTTTTTTAATAATTGTTAAAATTGAGCTCAAACCAACAGCATAAACAGAGGTCTTGGAACCTCCTGGGCTCTGGAACACCATACAGCAGTTTGCTTGCTGAAAAACCCCTCTAATTCAGGCACTCCAGAGGTGTTTCTAGGGAATATCTGTAATATTTAGCATTGAAGGTCAGGCAAAATACGAAATTCTTTCTAGAATATTCCCCTTTTGAGGAAATGGGAAACCTTCCTTGCAAAGAAATTGGAGTGGGGTGCCATTAGCTAGTTAATTCTAGCTTTTCCTGCTGGCCCTCCCACATCTCCAGCTTTGTCTCTGATACAATACGACCCTTGCCCTCACATCAGCCCACCAGTGCTCTTTTGGACCCACTCTATTGGGCATATAGATTCCATGGTGTTTAGAGAGCTTTGCAAACAAGGAAATCCTAATTCTTTTTTTTTTTTAAAGGCAGCCTTCAAAGATAACAGAAGTGAAACAGCCACTGGAGAGCCAGCCCCGGGGTTGGTCCGGGTGCTTGGTCTATTCTTGAGGCAAGATGTAGCTAGCTGACCAACAGTTTCTGAACCAGGGGTCCGCTTTCAGGCTCCCTTAACAATCCCAATCCAGCCACAGGAGGTGCAGAAAATCCATGTTTGAGATGTGGTCTGCAGGGTCAAAGGGGGAAATTTCCCTCTGTATTCAGAATGCTCAGATAGAAACACTGCAGCCTTTTGTCTGTTTTTAAAAACAAATCAACCTAAAACTTCCTGTACTGGGGTTTTGTATTTTAGTCCTACAGGATGTAAAAATGTGCCTATACTGATTGCCACATAATAGGCACTTCAACACTTCTTTTATACCAGATTCTCAAGCTGGCCCTAAACCTGGCTTGTTTCATTGTTATGTATCTGGGTATCTGTAGAAGAATGTCCTTTATGGGCTCCTTATCCGAGTCTTTTAAGATGGAAAGAGACTTCAGGAGATGAATGTTGGTGTCTAGCACGGGCTATAAACCAGACAGACTTTCCTTTCCTTTCTGTTTTCTTCTTTCTAAGCTGCATATTAAGAGCAGGAAAGGATTTTTGGTGCCCAGCAGTGCAGAACTCTTTTTAGTGGTAGCTGCTGCACTGCAGAATTGAAGCTGGGAATTATCTCCTCCTCTTCTCCATGCCACTCCTCCTCTGAGCCTCGGATTCAGACTGGCGCTGGGTTAGCAGTGCAAGGCCATCTGGCTGCACCTCTGTCTGTGGTGCATCGCTGCCTGGCATCCTGGGACTGCAGGGTGGGCTTTGGAGACTGGAGTTTCAATGGCAACCCCGACTAACGAGGAACAAGGACTGCTTATACGGACAGCTCGTTTTTATCTTGTGCAGAGTCAGCTTTGTAGTGGGATGTTGAAATATGACACAATGCCTGTTTGTTTGCAATAGCTGCAACCCTCGTAGCAGAGATTCAAGTGGGAAACAGAGGGGGAATCGAGACAAACCAGCGGGGGAATTGGGAACTGTGACACCGTGGCCTCTCTCCTGTGCCGGAGCAAGCAAAGGGAAGAGAGGTAGAGGAAAAAAGACTGAGCCTTGCAACCAGCCATCACCCTGACGATGTGTCAGTCAAACACCCTGCAGGGACCAGATCTGCACACAGGGAAATGGTGAGATGCTATAAAGCTTTATCTAACCCTCCACCCTCTTGCTACAACCTCCACAAAGTTAAAATTCATGTCCGGAGGCTGCGTTCAGGGAACGGCGGCAGCGGCAGCTGTGCCGGGGACCAGCACCCACAGCTGGAGAGTCCAGGCCTGGCTGGCTCTGCCAGGGGTACACCAAGTAGGAGGACTCGCTTCAGGTACTGTGTGGTATTTTCTGCTTTGCAGGAATGGTGACTAAAGGGAGAAAGGAGGGAGGGAGGATGGGAGGGTTTCTGGGCAGAAGGAGCAACAGCCATCTGCAGAGCTTTTGTTTGGCCTAATTACTATAAAGCTCCTTATGCATTGAATTGGCAGAGAAGGGCATGCTGTTATGTGACAAGGGGAATGAGGAGGCTTTCATTCCATTCCTTTCTACTCTCCATCACTAGGAGAATGGAAAAAATAGTGAGGGACTGCTCTGAATCCAGGCCAAGGCAGTGAGAAGCCCGAGGGCTTGAGTGAGCTGCCAGGATGCAGCTCTGCAGGGATTGGTCCATGAGCGACTGCAGTGAAGAGGGGGAGAGCAGCGGGAGGGGGAGCTGGACCTCCACTGGCAACCCAGCCCTAGCAATCCAACCCAGCCTGCCAGCCCTCCAGCACATCATAGGCTGGTGGGGGGCAAGGATGGGAGGAAGAAGGTGAAGTGTCCCTTCCTATTCCCATGTAGAGTCAGTCCCACCTCCTGCTGAGAGGAAAGTGGCTTTACCTCTGCTGAGGCAGCACTCATCTCCTCAGGGTTTTTTCTTCCCCCTTGCATTGTGATGCACAGATCACTCTTTGTTTTTTATGAATTAGCTCTTGGAAGGAAAAAAGCTGTGGTCACTGCAGAAGTCTGAGCTACCAGCAGTTTGCATCCCAAAGGGGTGACTGTTGTACCTATCCGCATGGAATTTTAATTCTGATGCAAGTTTTGAAAAGAGAGTGTTGGCAAGAAAGTTTGATTTTGATTTCCCAGCTTCTTTCCATCTTGGAAAGGCATATACAGTACTTCATACTTCATCCTTTGTATCATATAATCCAGTGAGAGAGAGAGCTGTTCAGAGCAGCCAGAGCATACTGCTTCCAGTTCGGGTGCGCACATAGCCGTATCCTGGCTGCAGGCATGCTGCCTTCATTCAGCAGCATGGGGAGGACAGTCTGTTAGCCAGCATCGAAGTCCGTGCCCAGAAGAGCTGAGTATTTTGCACACAGAGAGGCAGACTTCTGTTTGATTATGTGACCTTGGAAGTGCCAATGGCTTCTTCATAAGTAAAAGCCAAAGAATAAATGGGGACCTGAAGGGTCTCTTGCCCAGAGCTCCTACAGGGATCTGAACTGGGGCTCACAGTGTCTAGGAAGGTGAGCAGCTTTTCCCTCTGAGATTTAAAAGTTCAGTTTCTCCCCAGGAGCATGTCTGCAAAATGAGTTTCCTCTCAGGACAACCACGTGACAAAAAGCCATAGATGTAGTTGGTTATGAGGCAAAGGAGTTGGTTACTGGCCTATGGAGACTAGACTCCTGCAGCACTAGAAGTATTGGCTTTGTGCATATGTTCTCTGTTCAGAATTGAGGTACCCACTGAAGGTTTTAAGACCTGGGAGGGTGTCTTTTGGAACCAGTTACTTGTAAATTGTATTAACTCAGGAGTGCCATTCCTGTTGCCTCTGAGTGCTTGTTTCCCAGAGTTAGAGAATGACCAACAGGCCTGTGTAAATTTAACTCCAACAAGATGTCTTAAACACGTGAACCCTCTGAGAGATCTTTTAGGTCTCAAGGATTTCTCATCCAGAGTATCTGTTCTTGCCATAAGATTGTCCTTCAGTAAGAGTTCTTATTAAAGTCCCAGTTACCATGTTATATTGTTAGTTGGATGAACTAGCTGTGACTTCCTTTTCAAGTGCCACCTGCAAGTGATCTTGCATTTAAATGTTGAGGGTGTCATTCATAAAGTGTGACCATTTTTTTGGACAGAGAATGTGTCTGGGTTTTGGTTGTGTTTGTTGGGTTTTTGTGGATTTTTCAAGATAAACTGGTTTTCTGTTTTGGGAAGGGGAAGAACTGATCCAAATAGAGGAGTAAAGACTTGCAGAATCAATGTTTCAGATTAGCAGGAATAAATCATGCCCAGCTGTCAGAAGCTGGTGGTTGTGAAGCTGCGATGGCTGACCCTCATGTTGTGTATGTAATCTTGCAGGTTGCAATTCCCCCAGCTGGCCCTGAGGCGAAGGTTGGGCCAGCTGAGCTGTATGTCTAGGCCTGCTCTGAAACTCCGTTCTTGGCCTCTGACTATTCTCTATTATCTTCTGCCTTTCGGTGCTCTTAAGCCCTTGACCAGAGTGGGATGGAGGCCTGTGAGCAGGGTAAGTGTGAGCAGGTCTCTTGCGCTTCGTGTACCTTGGCTGTTTTATCCTGGAGGGAGCTGGCAGTAGTGGGGCAGAGATCCTTAACCCAGGACAGGCTGGTGATCACAGTACGGAAGCAGACAGATGCAATTCATGGTTCCCTTCAGCTTTCACTCTTCATAGTTGTGCTGTCCAATTGCTTCACAGACAAGGGATTTTTTTAACAGTCAGTGTTCTACCCAGGAAAATCAACAACTTCTGAACTCATTTGGTGACCTCGAAGTACTGGGGCCAGGGTCAGACAGACCAAACCTCCACCAGTTCCCATTCTGGCCACACTGAAATGGTCTCTTGCTTTCTGTCATTTGTGCTCAAAGACAGTTTGTTCCTCAAGTTCTTGGAGCATTTTTAATCCCACCTGGCTAGCTGATATGCGTATCTCTGCTCTGACACTGTTGGGAGCAGGGTGCAGGATGCCTTGCACATGGTTATTCATGTAATTCCAGAATGTAACAACTACACAAATACTTTGATTGAAAGCTACCACAAAACTGCCATTCTTAAGGGGATTTCACTGAACACTTGTTCTGTTTGATGCCATCAACTTGAAAATCAGGCTCTTCTGGAGAGAAGGGGCTCCTGGGAAATACAACTTCTAACAGTGTCTGTGATTTTTACAGTTGTAGCTGCATATTGTCAGTATTTGTGCTAAACTGAGCACAAGTGACTTTAGAAATTAACACTGTATAACAAATAAAAGGGCAAAGCATTTTTTTCTTCAGTACTTCAGCTTACACAACCTAAGTACTGTTCATTTATAAGGTTTTATCCAAAGTAAGATTGGGCTGGTGTTTTCCTTGTGCAATATCACTGTTATGTGACGCAGGATGGTGATCTGTGAGTGGAATCTTACTTTGCTGTATTTTAATGGACAGGCTCTCGGCCAGTGTGTGCTTCTGTTTGTTTATGGCTGTATTCTGCAAGACTTAATTATGAAGGACACAATTAATATTGAGAATAAATGATGCCTCTCACTAAGAAAAAAACCCCACAACTTCCAGTCATGTAGCTGAGCTGTTCTGTTAAAAGGAATTGTACTGGGTTCAGCAGATCGCTACTCATATTGCAGAAGTGCTTTGGGAGGGTTCAGTTCCCTTGGTCCACAAGTCCTGTATCATATCATGGTCATGTGAGCTTCTTGGCTGATAACCACAAACCCCAGAGGAGTTATCTGCTGGAATTACCAACAGGAAGACACTGTCATCAGTCCGGTTACATCAGCAGCATATATATACCTCTTATCCACACAGTTTCATTTAGTTGCCACTGAAACATGCTTTCATGTAAGTCCAAAGGGTATTCCTGGAGGAATAAAGGCACTTTACAGTCTTGCAATTAGCAGCTCCCACTGTTACAAGAGAAGGGGCAAAGGCATAAGTTTATACTGGTGTAGCTATATCCACATGGGTGTGTTTCTTGATTATACTAGTGTCATTAGAGCAGTACAATACTGGGATGTGGAAATCACCCTTCTGATGAGTGTTCTACTAGCACATGTGAAATCTATCTGTTTTAATGTAAGCCTTGCACTGGGCTGTTTCCAGTAACTTGTATGTGGAGCTTCAGCCTGCAGGGGAGTGGAGATCCTGGCTTCAGTGTAAGGTTGTAGTAAGTTTGATTCTGTCCCTCATCAGAACGGAGGGAGTGCAGATGAAGAGCACTGCTAATTTCTTGCTGACTTACATGCTGTGTGTGGTGTAACCTGCTGAATGCAAGGGAGGGGCTGGTAAAAACAGTCTGATCCTTTCTGTTTCCTGGGGGGAAGAGAAAGCCGTCAGTGGGCAGAACCAAGTGACACGGTGGGATTCTTTCTTTAGGTTGCTCTGTACAAATCGGTTCCGACTCGCCTGCTCTCACGTGCCTGGGGTCGCCTGAACCAGGTGGAGCTGCCGACATGGCTCCGGAAGCCTGTTTACAGCCTGTACATCTGGACGTTTGGAGTGAACATGAAGGAGGCAGCTGTTGAAGATCTGCATCACTATAGAAACCTCAGCGAGTTCTTCCGCAGGAAGCTGAAGCCGCAAGCGCGGCCTGTCTGCTGTGTGCACAGTGTGGTGAGTAACAGGAAATGAAGGCTTTACACCACCAGCTTCCCCTCGGCCCCAAAGGAGCCTGTCTGCTTTATGATGAATAAATGCATTCCTAATGTGTTTCCTTTTTTTCCTCTTTGCTGTAGATCAGTCCCTCTGATGGAAAGATCCTTAATTTTGGACAAGTAAAGAACTGTGAAGTGGAGCAAGTAAAGGGGGTTACTTATTCCCTGGAATCCTTCTTGGGACCTCGTGTCTCTACAGAGGAACTGCATTTTAGCCAGGGTGAGTTCTGCATCAGTTCTGCATTTATTCTGCTCTGCCCTTTCAGTGTTCTGAGATCATGAGAAAAGAGATTACTCTCTTTTTCTCTCTCATTCTCACACTGCAACAAAAAAACAGGTCTGATTTTTGTTTTATTTGGGGATAAACATGTTACTGTTTTAGTGTTTCTCTGTCTCATTGGTGGCTTAGAGTGTCTTGTCTGGTTCATAGGATCTACTTAGATCCTAATATAGGATCTAATGTTGTTGTAAAGGTTAAAAAACACTTTGAAATACTGGATTCCTCAAAAAAGTGTATCTTTTGTAGTCTCAACAATACAAGTAGGCTGCATTCAGTCCTCTGCTGTTAGCAGTGTTTCTAAGCTAGACTGGCTATCTGTGATAGCTAACTGTGAAAAGTATCTTTAACCTCTTTCTTTCCATTCTTTGCAGCCCCACCTGGTAACTCTTTTCAGCAACAACTAGTCACAAAGGAGGGGAATGAGCTCTACCACTGCGTAATCTACCTTGCACCAGGGGATTATCACTGCTTCCACTCCCCCACTGACTGGAGAGTGTCCCACCGGCGCCATTTCCCAGGTAGGTCTTTGCTTCTAGAAGATGAGCGCAGAGCAGCTGTGGAGGGAATACCTGGTACAGGGCACTGCTGAAGGAGACACACCAGTGGAGCAGTTGTACAGTCACAGGAGAGACAATGGTCAGAAAGCTATGTGTCACAAATGGTATTGAGTTTTATAGTAGTACAGTTCGTCTGATCAAATCACATCTAAATGGTGAAAGTGGTAATACTGTATTCAGGCTGGCTTCGGTCTTTGATATAAGTGTTGATGCATGCTGACCTGACTTGTTCCTAATCACAGTTTGTTCAATTTGTACCTGAAATACAGATAGTTCTGCAGAGCAGACCAGAGAGTAGCCTAAAATATGATCACTTCCTGTGGTTGGCAAAGAACATGCTACTAAATGGTTATGTTACTGGAGGTGGGATCAGATGGTTTTGTCCTCCTCTTTGCAGGTCATCACACTCTAGTTCAGCAGATAACAAAACTTGGTATCTAGTGAAAATATAAGTACTTGGATTTGCCTTCAAACACGATGAGAAGAGGGTCAGTGACCTGCCATGATGCTGGAGAAATAAGTCTCAGCTTTAAGTTAGACCTTGATTACATTGCAGGAGTATGGGTGAAATGCTACTATGGGATTCAGTGCAGCAAAGCAGATGCAGTTTATAGCTAGAAACATGTTAGGTGACTATACATGACTAAATTACTTTAAGAACTGTGTAGGAATTTAAAATTTGGTGGTTATTCTGTACTGGTCAGCCTGAAAAGAACCATTTACAGGCTTGAAAATACAAACCCTTTGCTCTTTTACAGAGAGAACTGTAGATGCTGTTCCAGATTGCATTCAAACCTTACAAATGAAGGGGTCTTCGGTTTCCCTTGTGATTCAGCTAGATAAAATGCAAAGTAATATAAGCCTTGCTCAAGAGTGCATCTTTCTGGACTACATTTTCCTATGACCCTTTTGTTTTTAGTATCACTTTGTTTTTCATTCCCTGTGCCTACCATTTGCTTCTCTTCCTCCAGATAAGTGACAGAATTGTTGACTGGATTAGCTACTGTTATATTGAAAATACCATTCGGATAGCATTGCAGTACTGCTACAAACCAGACAACTTGAATATTGTCTCACTATTGCAGGCTCTCTGATGTCTGTGAATCCTGGAGTTGCTCGCTGGATCAAGGAACTGTTCTGCCACAATGAACGGGTTGTCCTTACAGGTGACTGGAAACATGGCTTCTTCTCTTTAACAGCTGTAGGAGCAACTAATGTGGGCTCTATTCGCATCTACTTTGACCAGGTGAGCAAGATCGTGGTAGGCAGCTTTCTGCTTTTGATGATGGTTGAGGTTGGTATAGTATAATAAAACAAAATCACAACAAACACTTAGATCTTACTACTCTGAAATTAAGCTATTTCACAGTAGTGCTGTCCTAGGACTGATTTAAAGACTCATCTCCAGTATAAACTTCTGGTTTTTAAATATTCCTACTGCACTTTTGAATTGTAAGGAAGTTCCTGAATTAAATGCCTCGATATTCCAGTCTACAACTGTGCTAAGGACTACAGCGTATTGAAATACTCAAGTAACTTTTCTTCTTTCTCTGTACAGGACTTGCATACCAACAGTCCTTCTTACTCTAAAGGTTCCTACAATGACTTCAGCTTCATATCCAACAACAACAAGGAAGGGATCCCCATGAGGAAAGGGGAACATTTAGGGGAATTTAACTTAGGGTCTACAATTGTACTCATCTTCGAGGCACCCAAGGACTTCAAATTCCACCTCAAAGCTGGACAGAAAATCCGTTTTGGAGAAGCACTGGGCTCTCTATAGCAACTCTCAGCAAGGTGGTTTTCTACATAGAGGGACTCTTACCATATCACTGAGTGTTTCATTTAACAAGTATGTATCACTCAGCAGGACCTGGGTGAGGAAACCTGAAGAATGTCATTGCTATGTTAAACCTGAAGCATTTGATGTACACTGACTTGCTGCTGAATGCAGAAAGAGAATTGAATGACCAGAGGTGTATCAGGTACAGCTGCCTTTAAAGATGCTGGCCACAGAGGTTTCATGGAGGACCCACCCTGTGCCTGTAGTCTTTCATGTTCTCCCCGCAATGTGCCACAGGGTAATTTTGTTCTTAAACCCTTTTAAGCCCTCCAAGGCTGTGCAGGTGCAATGGGGAAGGGTAGAGATTAGCTGTATTTAAAGGGACAGTGACAGGCTGAGTCAGACCTTGTACCTGCAATGTCTGGTTTTCAGACTTTGAATAAAGAATGTGTTCTCATATTTATTTTATTCTGACATATTCTGATGAAGCTTTTGAATAAAGGCAGCTGCGAATGTAGAGAGCCAAACAGTTCAGGGGGCGAGTATGGATTCACAGTTCAGATATGCAAAATGTAGACAGCATCAGTACAATAAATCACACTCATCCAGGTTTTCTACTGTTAGACAATTCTTTTACCTGACATTGTCCCTTTAAAAATGGACTTTGCACTGTATTTTTAACCTGAAAACACTGTGTCTGCATTCCATGTGATGAAACTGGTCATCTTGGGATTTCCTTTTAGAGAATTAAGAGTGGACAAAGCTGTGTCCTCTTCCTAATCTATTTTTCTGTTCCAGGCCTTAAAGATTTTGTTTGTATGAGAGGCAGTACAGATTAAGGTGTTAGAAGACAGGGAATATTTTTTCTTGTGTGATGCAATAAGGTAGCAGCCAAAATGTTTTTACTCCATGCAATGTATCTTCATTGTTGCTTTGTCACTAAATGCTCGAAGAACTACTTTCTCTACTTAGTGAACAGTTTCAGATACTTCAGGACCAATTTTTACTGCACCGAGTGAAGTACATCTATGCACTGACTGTGTATAAAGATATTATGAATCTTTGAAGCAATCCCAGGTTGCCTCCCAACTGCAAACCTGGCCATCCTGTAATGGACTGGCAACAATTTCATCTTATTCAAAAGATGACTCTGACTTTTGTCCTCATGCTAGGAATGTGCTGGGGACAAAGCTCTGTGCTGAATCTTCATCCTAGAGCAAAACTTCAGAGCTTTCTTGTAACACCATGTCAAGAAGAGTTTGAAATCTAACACTTTGGAGCTATCAAATGTGGCACTGACAGAAACTGGTGCCAAAGTGAAGAAGAGTTTTAAATGTATTAATTGTTTTTAGAGAATAAACTTGTTTCAGGCCCAGGCACTCAAACATTTAAAACTGACTTTGCTGTCCAGAGCCTGTTGGAATGGACATGCCTTTCTGCTTTCTCAAAGATTTCTCATTCTACCTTCTTGCTTGAGCTCATTTTCTGCTACTTTAAGGAGACTGTAGGCTTTAACTAGCTCTGATTTTCTAAGGGAAAACTTATCTTCTTTGTATGCACTGCAGAAAATAGAATATTATTTTGTTGTACAAATGTCCAGTTTGCCAAGTCCTGTATGCTTAGCTTGTCATCAGGGAAGATGGGATGATAAACTGCCTCCAAGTGATGAAGCCCATCCATGACTTCAGTTATGGTGGCTCATTGGGTGACAAGCAGGAGAAAATTCATTTGGCTCCAGGAGTCAATGTTTCCTCACTTTACATGAGGAGGAGTGTGAAAGCTTGAAGTGGCTCTCAGCCACCTATCTTGTTAAATTTCTTGGCATTAGCAAGTTTACTCCTGCAGCAGTATGTTATCATATACAGGTTATAGAAATGTGCACTTTTTAAACCGTTGCTATTTAGAAAAGACATCAACCCCAGAGGCTGAAGCTATGACTACTAGCCTTTTAACTAAATGTCATGTTAACAGTAGAAGGCAAATTCGTTCCAGTGGATGACAGGAAAGACCACTGAATCTTTTCCCCCTTTTCCACTGGGGCCTATGCCACCCAGACACAGCCAAAGCAACTTTGAGCTTTAATTTCTCCATGCTCAGCATCACCATCCACAGTATCTGAAGGTTACTGTTAGCCTAGTAATGGAGCACAGGTTACCTGGTGTGTGCTTTATTAGAAACCTAAGGAGGAGAGGATACAGCATGCAAGTGGCTGGTTTTGTGATAGTCTTAATACTGTGCAGAGCTAACTGATTAACAAACAACATTTGTTATGCAGTGGTCAGCAATGCACCCTGGAAGTGAAAAAGCAAAGTTCCTAGAGGGTACTGATAATGCTGTGAATTTCTCCTGCATGGAGAATCCATTTAATTCAACTGTATCAGTAGCATGCTATTTTTGTATGTCAAAGTGTATGACTTACTGACATGAACTCATTTAATTGCAAAGATTTTGAAATAAAGAGTCTTATCAGTGTTGCTTATCTCTGTGAAATGTCAGGGTAACCTAAACTAGGTATTGTGAGTGCAGCAGGAGGTATATACAGCTCCTGTGTGGGTTTTAACCACTTGTAGTAACAAACCAAAGCAAGCAAAAAGATTTAATTTATAAAACAAAATTGCCATATAGGCTAAGAGAAAGTATACATTCCCATCCTCCCCTGCTATGAAAAGAGCAAAGAATCCTACCCATGAGTTGGAATATTGGTTCAGATGCATTATGTGTTGAGAGCAGTCTGGATTTCATGCAGGCGGGCAACCAGGTTCTTCACATGATACCTCTCTTTCTGTTGTGCTTTGGTGAGAGTGTTGATCCTCACATGCAGCTGAAAGTGAAGAGACCCACATAGGCTGTTGGTACAGCAAGACAGCATTTAGCCTTTCTGACAGAGGAAGAGTGAGTGAACTCCAGCTGCCCACTTAAGAACCATTAAGTGACAGGATAGTGTCACTCAGGAACAGCCAAGTACTGTCTAGCTTAAGAGCTAACAGTTAAGTACCCATATGGCTGTATTAAAACCTGGGCACTGACAGCAATGCAGGTACAGTCCCTGTAGTGTAGTTACTCGGGGAAAAAAATGAGACTGAATCTACTAAGGCCTGCTATGGAGCTTGGAAATAGCCTTAGGAAGGGCTATTTGAGCTGGAGTTACATTTCTGAACAAATACGATGCATCTACACAGCAGCCTGTTGTGCTCTTCAGTCCATTTCTCATGACAAGTCTTAATTCTCTTGGCATGTTAGTAACAGGTTACTACAAAATTGCTCACAGCTGCCATCAGCCTTTAGGCTAAGTGCATAGCTTAGTGATTATCACTTAAGTAAGTTGAATTTGCTGTTTACAGACCTGATTCAATTCTTCCTGAACATCTTGTACACCACCTTGGTCCTCTGGTTGTGTGCTGGTTTCTAGCCACTGCTGTAGAATCTCTGCCTGCTGCTGACAGGACCTGATAAAATGGATTAAAGGATTCTCTTATGCCAATTAGCTCAGCAGTCTAAACCAACTTACACTTGTGATTGATACTTGCAATAACACCCAATTTCTTGTCTCGAACCAGTGAATGGTAAAAGTCTTAAAAAAGAGATGCTGGAATGCAGAGAAACCTGTCTGAAAATTGTTTACATTTCCTACTGCTTGTTCCTGACCTTTTACTTTCCTGACAGCCCCATTTTCTTACAAGCGTTTTTGTAAATGTGTTCTAGTAGTTGCCAAACACCAACCACACTTCCTTTAACGGACAGTTGGAAAAGCTAAGTCTTCATGATAAAAGAGCTAAAAGCTAAAATTCACTCTGCCAACTTCATTTGTACCGCCTTCAGATTACACCCAATAACTCTGTCATGCTTTCTCTAACAGCTGCCAAAGGTATAATTAAGCCACTTGCTGACTACAAAGGTGGCACATGTACTCTCTCCTACCTGCAGTGAACTCTTAAAAATCAAAACCTCTGGAACCTTCCTGTTTCATTCACACTTCTGCTGTGAACAGACTGGGTAGTTTAAAAGTAGATACGTACAAAAAGTGTAATATCAAGTTGAGAACATGAAGCAAGGCTGGATAAATAAAGGGGCTTTGCAACATACTTGAGTTCTTGCTTCCTGCTGAAGTAGTACTGCATCTGCTGTTGGATGTGTCGGAGTTCAACTTCCAGCTTCCTCTGTAACATCATTTCTTCTCTGGAACTGTGCTCCCTTTCTTCCCTTTCAGCTGAATGGAAGATACAAGGCACAAGCAATGGAAGTGGAGCAGACTTCCACTGTTTCTTCATGTCAATGAAAGTCAGCTTAGTAGACAGGAAACAGGGACCCTCCTGCAGTCCTTCCCCCAGTTTTTTCACCCAGCGACATGTACATATTTGCCCAAAAGATCAGGTACAGTAAGAGGGAGGGAGCCCTGACAGCATTACGAGCTACAAAGACTCAGTTTAAACATACACAAAAAGAGATAAATGTTAATGATTTAGTACTACAAATGCTGGTTTGGCCATCATTTAGTGTTTGGCCAGCATCTAGTGTTTTATAGAATCATAGAATAGTTAGGGTTGGAAAGGACCTTAAGATCATCAAGTTCCAACCCCCCTGCCATGGGCAGGGACACCTCGCTCTAAACCATATCACCCAAGGCCTCGTCCAGCCTAGCCTTGAACACTGCCAGGGATGGAGCATTCACAACCTCCCTGGGCAACCCATTCCAGTGCCTCACCACCCTAACAGGAAAGAATTTCCTCCTTATATCCAATCTAAACTTCCCCTGTTTCAGTTTGAACCCATTGCCCCTTGTCCTACCACTACAGTCCCTAATGAAGAGTCCATCCCCAGCATCCCTATATGCCCCCTTCAGATACTGGAAGGCTGCACGAAGTCAGTCTAGTCACATGGAACACACATTTCATGCCCTAAACACCACACTGGGAGGTGCTTAGACACCTTATGTCCCCTTTACAACCATACTGTAAGTACAGAGAGAACTTTTGAGAATTCTTCCCTCCTGAAATGAGGTAAGCATTCAGCCTCACATACATGAACATCCCAGCACTCAAGGACATTCTTGCTAAAAGAAGCCAATCCCTTGCAGTTCCCTTCCTTCAATCCCTAGAACAGTGTTAGCCCGATTCAGCAGAATCCACAAAACTCTAATTACTGTCCCCAAAAGGAATGACTGGTATTCTTCACCTCCTCAAGAAGGCACACAAGACTGCCTCGTCTCCCTGATGTTTTGTGGAGCTTACTTACGCTCTTGCATGTACTAGAGGAGGACACACAGCTGCTACAGTTTAGATATGAGGACCTACCTGCAGTCTGGTGACTCCGTTTTCCCACCAAGGTTTCAGGTGACAGCAAATGTGGCTCCAAGTTTGGTTGTAACTTCTTCTCCATAGAGTCCTGTTGAAAGTCTTGGGAATGGGCTCCTTTGCGACCACTCACAGGCTGACCTCCTCTCTACAAGGTCAAAATGATACCATGTTTTTCCCTCAAAGGGTTTTCTTGAGTAAGCCCTAAAAGTAGAATGAACCTGACCTAACTCAACCCTACTCCCACTCAAACACCCCCTGTAGTCACTGAGCCCCTCTCCTAAAATACCACAGAAGAAGAGCTTAAGAAATAGGCATTTCAATTTCTAGCACATTTTCTAGCATGTTTCATCAACACCACCCATTTGGCATGGAACAGGAGGTTGAAATGCAAGCACCTACTTGCAGGGGAAGTGAATTTCAACTTTTGGGACTGTCAGCCATAGCCACTGTTCCTAAACTGGGTTGCTCTTAAATCCCTGTAATGTGGTTGGCAAACTGTAACTGCTCTGAACTCCTTGAAGGAGCAGCACTCTCAAGTCAATTGACAGGAAAAGCATCCAGCTAGGAAGGACACAAGACCAAGGAAAAAAGGCATGAAATACATGTGGATTGGTCAGCTAGTAAAACACTACTTCAGACTGGTGGTAGAGCTCTTGGACAATCAGAGCCAGTTAATTCGGTCAGCTTTTTAGGATGACAGCTAGAACAAGAAAAGAATACCCAACAGCCAGTTGGCTGCTCCAGCAGCTCCACAGGAAACCCCAGCAGTAAGCAACATGCATGTTGAGAGTAGCCCAGTAAGCACACTAGTTTTTCCTTCAGCAACACACTCACCATTTCTGCTCCAGCATTCATTTGAGCCATGAAAGACAAAAGAGACCTTAGCTCTGGCCTTTGAGCAGCACAGTGCACATCATTTGTCCACATTGGTAAAGCATGTCCAAGAGATGGGTAGGATCGAGTGGTATTGCCCATTTGAGACACACATTTATGGGTACTTTCTTCCACTTCAGGTGTTTGCACTATGCTCCCAGTCTGCCCAAGACATTTGTTCACAGATGTATGCTGAAAAGGTGCCTCTGGTCTGTAAAAGGAGGATGAAGTCATCTTGTTATTCCCTTGCATACAGCTTTCCAGTCAGCTGTTTTACTATGAAGGGAAACCCCAATTTAAAAGGGAAGAAACCCCAAAACTGCCAAAGAGCAAAAACTGCCCAAACAAACAAAACCAGAACACCACAATGATTTCAAAACCAAACCAAAAAAGCAGCAGAGCAGCAAAGGCTTCCGTTACTCCTCCTGCCCTGCTCCAAATTCTCCACAATCTAGGCTGAAACAATTTCTTTAGACCTGTGAATTCAATCCACTAACAAAATCCTGCCTCATACTGGTTTGGGACAAGAGGGAGCAGGATCAGCAATCTCAGATGGGTTTTGAGAGCAAATTGATAGAGATTTCCCTTTTCTAAAGCTAACTATAGCACAGTTTCACACGAAAGTTCAGTCTAAACGTCTGCTTAGAAGCAATTTCAGCTTCTATAGCAAAAGCAGTTTCAGCTCCTCAGTTTCAGGGCTAAGAAGTGCTGCCATAACTCAAACAAATGTAGAACACTCAAGGCAGTGAAACTGCTGCTTTGTTGAACATTCTCCGCAGCAGCACAGACCTTTGGGGGGAAATAAAAATTACAAGAAAATAATTCCTTTTAGAGCAGCAAAGTTGATTCAGCCAAGACAGAAATACTCAGTTCTGGCTCTGCATTACCAGAATCACTAATGATTCCCCAGTAGATTAGTTAAATCCAGACCCAAGCCTGGTGTGGAGCAAACACAATCTATGAGCCAAAAAGCATCCCACACAACTCAAACTCCCAAGTTTATGTGGCAAGACTGACAGAAAAACAACCCACAACTTTACTTATTCCCTAAGCCCATTCCTTCTGTAAGGAAGTGATGTGCCCTATCTTGCCCCCAAAATCTCTCACTAATGAAACAAAAGCCTTGGTTGCTATTTCATTAATGTTTGGTTTTCTTATCTGCTTCTTTTAAAGAAACCTGATGTTTTTAAGGTCAGGATGGCCTTCAGTAGCAGAGAGCAATGCACCGTCCCGTAATTACTGAACATTCTGTATTACCAAGGTCAGAGGATTTGAAGGGATAAGCATAGCATATCCCACTCTAAGCCATGCTATTTTTCATTACTTTAAAAAACAGACTTTCTACCTAGAGAAAGGAGATCCCAGCAGTGCCTTGCCTTCTAGAGAGCCCAGAAGGAAGTCAGGCCTCTGTGGTGGTAACCTTGCTCGTTGAATGGTATTTCTGAAAAGAACAAACAGAACCAAGATGTATTTTAAATTAGCATAAGCTGGCATTGCAGCTAAAGAAACAGTGCTATTCACTCATCTCTGCTCTGCAACATTCCCCTTGCATGCAATAATAATGTTTAAAGACTACATTTTGGCCTGTATTAATGCCAAATCTGGTTTACTGTATGAAGGATTGTGCCAACACAAGGAATGGTGGAAGGGACAGAATCAAACAAGACAAAACTACTTCTTTTGGCAGCATATACTAACTTAAAGAAATGTGAACCTATCACCTTATTTCCCTTTAAGGCTCCTGTCCTGGACTGAGAAGCTTCCTGGAAGATTCTTCCTTAAAATTGCCCCATGATCAGACATTTTTAAGGAATAGCTTCCCCAGGGGAAAGAAAGGGACAAGAAGAAAGTTCCATTTGTGCACAGCCACAATCTTGATGTTTATCATTTCAGACATCATGTCAGACCCTGGACTTGGCTTCAGTGAAAAAGAGCTTCACTGACAGCTCTAGGCCACTCCGATGATGGTAGAAGTCCCATCACAGTCATCTTCCGATAGTTTCCCTGTGTTCTATGACAAGTGACTAATGCTCCATGAATTCAGAGTTGCATACTGAGAAAAACAGTGAGAAGTACATAGCTGAGCTGATCCTACCTGTTACTGATATTTAAGTATAAAGTCACAAATCCCTTTGTTCTTTGGGGGGTGATGTATTCACTATGCACAGATCTTGTATAACTGCAAGACCAGCCACATACATGATGCAGGGTGAGAGAGTATCAGGGACTAGTCATCAGTGTGAGAACTTGGAAATAAAAAAATGAGAGACACAGACAGCAGAACTACGTAGATGTACAACTACATACATGCAGGAGGAACTAGAACTTTACACTCACAGATTCCTGAGAACTGGGTCCCCATCAGCAAGGTGAAATGGTAGGTGCTTGTATTTTGAAGGCCATGCCTTTTCCTCTGCTGAATGTCCTCTTCTCCCAGAACTAACATCAGTCATTTTAAACATCACTTGCTTCTTCAGAGGTAGAAGAGAAGAACAAGGCTGATTTAATTTCTTGGAGAGAGCCTTCTGTTTCCACAGCATGGCACAGCGATACACTGACTGGTGAAGGTTGTAGGCTGCCTGCCAACACAAAGAATAGCAGAGCATTTGATGGCTGAGAATAGGAAGCAACACCACTGTACCAAGGAAGAACATCACAGAAAGGAACTGAGATTTCTGCTGACCTCACAGCCATACCAGCTCCCTAAGCTAAATTAGCAGGTTCACTGTGGAAATACTTGGGTAAGAAAAATGAACTGGGTACTTCTGCAATGAGGCAGGCTGCACATTGGGAAACAGAACAAACAGCGTCTTGAAAACCTGGTAAAGAGCTTGGAAAACTGCCCAGGACCAAGTAGAGAGCAATCAATACAGGCACCCCTATCTTCCTTTCCACACAACAGGGCTGGGCTAATACTCAAAGTCAGAAGTGACACAAGCCCACATTTGAAAGTGTAAATGCTGCTAAAGCTAAGACAGGATTAGACACAGCCTCTAATGCTTCATTATAGCACAGACTTTAGAGACCAGACAGTAGCCACATGCAAAGGTTTCATCAGCAATATTATCTATGGTAGGAATTGCCCAGTTCTGAAATAGCTTTATTAAGAAAGGTTCCAAATTAGCAACACAAGTCTGAAGTTTTTAGTCTCTGCTGTATGAAAGGACAGGACCACAGGCAAAAGTGTATGTCAGATCCATACAAGAGCCAAGATGTAGGGCTCCCAGATACGCATGTGCACACAAATACACACACAAAGTAGATCAGAGCAGACCAGCACTGGATGTAGCTGAACATTCGTCTCTTTCACCTCAAGCTGATGCTGGGCTTGGTGCTGTCCTTGCAACTGTTTCAAGCCAGTGGTGTTTCTCAAGACCTGGGGTACACCTTCTCTCAGAAGAGCAGCGTGGTAAACTCCTGTGGCTTTTTCTATGCAATCTTTCTTCTGCTGTTGCCCTTTGGTAAATCTGAACCAAGCAGCAAATACCTACAACAGGACCAACAACCAGCTCGAGTGTTACAAACACAGGCTCCGGGCCAGGGACTCCCCCCTGCAGACAGAAACACTTTCCCTTCCACTGGATAGTAACAGGCAGAGCTACAGCAACAGCAGGACCCTAACCACAAGGGCAAAGAGAAAGATATTTAAGTCAGCTGAGGCTGCATGGGGAAAAAAGTGCACAATTTTTAACCTGGTAAGAGGATTTAGGGTCAGTTTTCCAGCATCCTAAAATAACACATAGCACCCCAAAGATGAAAGGAAACAGACATTCAGAGCATGCACACTGCTAACTGCAGTCAGATCTGTGTATGATCTGCACATCTGCAAATTCATTTGTCTGTCCCTGACCCACACAAACCCCTACCTTTCTCTGCAATGAAAGGGACCAGTGCCACAATGCTTGCACCATCTTCTGCTTTTCCCATCGTTGCTCCAACAGCTGTTGGGGAAAAAAATGCACAACAAAGAGTTCACATATCCCACACCAGAAATGCTAGCCAGAGCAGCAACCAAACAGGATGTGCTGGTGGAGCTATAGCACAATAACCTAACTTAGTTCACCCAGTATACAGAAAGGTGTCTCTTCTGCTAGAGGAACCAAAAATCCAGAAAACGATTAAATACATTTTTATGGTCCTCATATTCTCATGTGTGAGTGGAGTATGAAGGAGAGGAAAGGATAAAGATCAGAAAAGTGCTAGCTACCCAGGGGTCAATTCCTTACCCGTGTCTTCCAGCAAGAGAAGGAAGTAGAGCAAAGTCTACGAGTCATTAGCTGATCTCCCAGTCTCTGTAGTAGCTGTAAGGCAAGCAAAACAGTGAGTCACTTGCAGACAAACCCCACTTATCTGAGCCAAAACCTACTAGAATAGAACAGGTATCAAAGAGCCTTTATCACCCTCCCTTTGTTCTGCTGAGACAACCCTCAATATCTAAGTGCCCTCTGGTGTAAAAGTATCTGTATATCTGGGAGCCCAGCAAGGATTTCATTATCAGTAAATGGTGTCACTCAGGGCAAGCTCAGCTTCTCATCACTTGGTTAGTTCTACCAAAGCTTCTTTGGGCAAGACACTAGCATGTTCCTTCCTCATCAATGCACAAGGCTGTTATGCTCAGACACTACCATTCTCTTCACCAGCAGGCACAGCCTGCTCCTCCACACCTGTAACTTCCCACCCTGGGTCACTGGCTTGGGGAGGTTGTTGATCCTTCTCACCGTTTTCCCAAGGCACTGCTGATGATACTTCTTCCATTTCACCAGGTACTTCTGCAGTAGGTGCTGCTGGTGGTGCTGTGCTGCCCTGTGCTGCTGAGCCCTCAGCATCAGAGACTCCCTAGTTAAGTCCTTCCAGTGAAGAAACATGGACTGTAAACGCACTGTTAGGAGAAGATAAATTAACTCAGAGAGTATCAAGTTATCAGCTACTTTTCCAGACTAAGACTGCAAGTATTTAAGTATTGCTTTAAGTATCATTAAGTATTGCTTTAGCAATACTTAACACTGACAGTACTCAGCACTAGGAAGAAGGATTGTGAAACACTTCAGGTAACGGTCAGTGAGCCATGACTTGCAAGTCTTCCTGCTGCCATTGACATTCTTTATAATCCTTAGGAAATCATTTGCCCTTGCTGCTTCAGAGTCCTCATGTCAAGAAAGAAGGTAGATGATACCATGAAAATCCTTGGAAAGTTTGAGGGCCTTTCTGTATTAATTACTAGAGAAAAATTGAAGCAGCAACTGATTAAAATTACTTGCACTGCCCTTAAAACAGAGACATCTGAGCTTCTCAAAATTAGTAATGGAAAATTCCCTTGAGGAAACACAAGGAACCAACAGAGAAGCAAAGTAGCACAAGCAGCCTTCAACTGATCACTGAAGTCCCAAGTCCCTCCCCATTCTATGGGTACATCTTTTGTAGGCTTAATAGACATCCGTACAGATGACACAAAAGACTGCTCTACTGAGCCATGTCTAAGAATCATACATACATAACTAAGTCTTTTGAGAGTTTAATATCTCCATCAGCTCACCTATATCCAAATGTTTTCTGGCCTGCATCACAGCCATCATCTTCTGCTGACGGCTACACACTTGGAGCAGGGCAGCATACCTCCACTGTGCCAACACCTAAAGGTGCAATGCAAACAAGAGACAGGATACAGACTGACTGCAGTGTTCTTTGGAGGGAGAAGCAATGTACTCCACACTGCTGGCAACGTAACTATTCCCATTTCATTTTTCACATAAGGCTCAGCAAGACAGTGCGAATTTCCTATGAAGTAAAGACAGCAAAGGGTCCCCCTGCAGTTTTCATTCATTCTACTTTTCCATCCACCTGCCTTCCCCCCCATCCCAGGTAATACTGCTATGCTGTATCATACTACTGATCCTCCCCTTCGTGCTAGGAAATGGGGAGAAAGGAAGAGGAAAAATCATGAGTTCACTCAGAGACAAGTTTCAGAGATGCCTGTAGAAATAACGTGGGAGTTCCACTTTTTAGACCTTTCTTAGTAGTGGCTCTTAGATTAAGTTTTTGGTCCTGCATTATGGGACCCATGCATGAACAAGCATCTACCTGTACTTAAGACATTGTATCTGCTACAGAGACCCTACCTTTGACAGGATTGCTCTCCTGTAGTGCTCCTCTGCCTGAATAGCAGCCTTAGCTTCACATACAAGAGCAAGAGCATTTTCTCTCCACGTATATAGAACCTGCCTGGGTATATAAATATATAAAAATTAAAAAATAAACAAACAAGACCCATTAAGAATGATTCCCACTTGTTCATTTGGCACCCTCCAACTCACAGGGGAGCCAAAGCCAGCTTTCTCTATAAACTCAGTTTTGTCTCTATAAACTCTGTCCCTTCGAATCTACGGTGAAGGCAGTACAAAACTGGAACACCCCTTGAATTCAGCATCTTACACCAAATCAATCAGGCTGTGCAAGTGACTGTGGTTGTATAGCATTAAAACCAATACAAAGTGGTATCATCTTTAACCACTCTCCTTACTCTTAAAGCAAGACAGCCTCTACGTCTTCCAGGCTGGTTTAATATCATATCCACATAGAATCCATGTGCTCACTGCAGGGACTGATACAGTTTGCTGTCTCTTATGGGGCTTAAATAAGAAAAGTTAAAGCAAAACAGAGCGCAATTCAGGAAGAGGTTGACTTCTTCTAGCTAGGTGATCTGCACAGGAACAGCAATGCACAGCACAGTCAATTCCCAGCACCGACCACACAAAAACTGGCAAAGGTGGCAGTGAAAGAAAAGGAGTAATTTGAGTGCACTGCAGCCACTTCTCTCCTGCTGCACAAGGACACAGGCTTACCGGAGCAGCAGTCTGGTGTGCCGGTTCTCCTTGTCAGCTACTTGGGATAGAATACACTGTACGTTATGTTGGTAAGTCTGCAAGAAAAGCAGCAAGAGGTAAAACCTCCCTGAACTGCAACACCTGAGGAGAGGAGACATCTGAAAACTCTCAGTAGCAGCTTTGGGGTCGTACCAGCAGTAGAGTACAGGGGGCGGGGGGGAAAATGAGGTTGCAGACACTGAAATCAAAATGCTGCTTTTCTGAGATAAAGAGTCATTACCCACTAGTTAATGCCAGCTATGACAGAGCCTTCACCAAGCCACATGATTACATTGGGTCTTTTGCTCCAAAAAGCAATGCTAGAGCTTATATACTCTATCTACAAGAGCCTTCATTCCACTCACTCTAAGCAAGTGCTTAGAGTGAAACAGCATGGCAGCTCTTCTGTTCTCACCAAAGCACTTGAGCACACACACACAAATCCCTCAGAGGAAAAGGTGTTCCCTCCTACCTTCCAGGCTGCCAAGGTCTTGCCCAGTAATGTGTGCTGATAGTGCATGTCTGCTTGCACCAGCTTCCTCCATTTCTCACGCTGATGTTCCACGTACTATGAGGGGGAAAGAGGAGAAAGGCATGTACATGGGATAGAGAGAAAACAAGCAGTGGCAGAGCAAAGAGCTCTTTTTCCAATCACTGGGGAAACATCTATCCTTTAATCTTGCTGTAACAGTTTTTCACTCAAACTAGTGCTGCATTCTGCTATTTCTCCAGAAGGCCTGGTTGAGGGTTCTTTAACCCTGCCTTTTTTGGAAAACCTCTTGAAGACTGATACAGTTCACTCAAGTTAACAGCTCTGGACCAACATCCTAGTGTCAACTCTAATCATTACGACATGCTGCGAGGCATATTTGGTCTATCACATCATGGTAAGCAAAAGGCCCAGCATAAAAGTGAAGAGCCATCTGATACGGCCTGCTGTGACTTGTACACAACTACAGACCACACCATAGCCTTGCTGTGAACTTCTAACTTTGAGAAGGACATGCACAGTACTGAGTAGGGATAATTTCACCATGTTAACTCCGGTTACATTCCTGGGTAAATCTCCTAAACAACAGTCCCATTATCACTATATTAGAGAAGTCAAAGAACTCCCTCTCCTCCATAAGCAATTCCTGTTCTGCCCACACTGAATTGGTTTTACCCACCTGGAAAAGGAGGAGAGCTTAGGAATGACTAAAATTATTTAAAATAAATTAATAATTTAAAATAAACAATTTAATTTCTAGCCATATGGCTAGAAGCAATCTGTACAAAACAAATAGGATTCAAGCTCTTCCCCATCTGTTAACTCCCTCACCTCCTTCCACTTGTTCCAAGTCTGCTGCAGACACTTTGAATGGTGAAATCTTAAGGCTTGCATCTCCTTGAGCCTCCTATAAGAAAAATAATTATTTCTCCTAAGATGCAACTCATGTTACTGTACCCCTCTAGCATGCACTTGACCCCACACTTGCTATTTTCAGTAAGTCTTTCACTGAAAGACAAGCTAGTAGATTCCGAAGCACACATAAGAAGTTAAGATCACTGTGAATTACCAGCTGCCAAAAGTAGGCCACCACAGGACCAATCCAAATCATTCTCCCTTTTAAATAAACTTCTTACTCTGTTTTTCTCTCCTGAGTATTTTGCTTCCACAGACAGAAAGCCTTCAGCAGCAGCAGGTTGCTGTAGTGACCTTGTGCATGAACCAAGTTCTCTTGCTCCTCCAAACAGGCAGCTGTTCTTCTACGCCAGAAGCACCAGAAACAACGCAATAGCTGCCTTTCAAAATGAAGTGCAGCCTATGATAGGAAGAAAGTGGCAATAAATTCATGTCACAGGCCACTTATAAACAACAGAAGGCAATTTCTTAAAGATCACATGCACAGAACTGCCCAGTGTTTGTTTTCCTCTTATGTTACACGTCACCCAAGCCCCTTAGCTGTGAGTTTATGTGAATATATTATAGAGGGACCTACATGCATGTAGATGGAAAAACTGCCACCAGAAAACAGCGAGCCAAAGAGAGGAAAACTACACGCTCATCAGTAGTATATGAAAGACTCCTAAGAACCGATAAGCTCCAGAAAACACTCCTGTTGAATCTGCAGGGACTGATAATCTCAGAACACCAACAGTCAGCCATATCTGCATAAGACCACACAGACGCACACTGCCATCAACTAGCAGTTGTGGAACTCAGACCACATCAAAGGTTGCAGTGGCTGCTACAGATAAAGACTATAGAATTATATATACCTCTTTGGAAATGAAGGACCCCTTGAGTGATTTTATGGACAGCTACCTAGAACCAACCAATTTGTCAGCACCACCCTGAACTTTTCAAATAGGTTGGGATTGGCTCTTTATTACTATTATTGTTTTAACCAGGTAATTATGAAATTGACATTTACTGGGTGAGGGAATAAGTGAATGAACTGTGTGGATAGTTACCCTCTAGTAACAACATCTCAAAACTATTATTAAATTACTAATAAATAGCTTAACTCAAAAAAGGTGTTTAGTAAGTACTGGTTGTAATCTGTTCCCCCTGACTTGATCCCCCAAAAGGGAAAAGGGAACTTAAAATACCCAAGTCTATCTCATGCCAACTCATGTTCACAGATAGTGACTAAGAAACCATGCCTCTATTTCCTAAACAAGGCCAGCTAAAAGAGTGGATTTACCCTCTTCTCTGCCATTCGGTATTCTTGCTGCTTGCAGGCATTCAGCAGCCATGTGTCAAATACCTGTCTCATCAACACCCTCCTGCAAGCAAAAAGGGAGAATGTCAGCACAGGAGAGAATTCCTTCAGAAAAGAGACCACTTTAATCCACCTGCAACGTAAGCAGTTGATTTTTCAAACAATGCAAGCCACCTTTGGAAATCAGGCAGCTGGACGTCCTCATTATTCTCTGAGTTAAAAACCAGACAATTTGCCCCCTGAAATCTTACACAGAATACATCAGATCAGTGAATTTTCTGAAGTTATCAGAACTCTCTGCTTTCATTCAGATCATTCAAAAGATTGTTCTGACTTCTGAGCAAATAATTTTATTTATAAGCACAAAGAAAAAAATGATCTAACCACGTTTTATTTCTTCTCCACTGTAAATACAGTCCAATCCCTCCTCCCCTGCAAGCAGTTTGAAAATCCTACTCAACTTTCTCCATTTAAAACCAAAACAAATATTGTAATAGGACTTGAAAGGAATTATAATAACAAACAACAAAGAGCAGTGTGGACTCATCTTAACACTGAAGAGGTCCTACCAAAGCCTTTTATGAACACAGTCAGGTTAGTTGCCCTAATTATCAAAGCTTCTTTCTCTCTAGATGAAGATAATACTTGCTAGTCCATGTCCTCTCCAGGGAGAACCATTACCAAATAGCACTCCAAAAATGCAATTAATATATATTTATGATTGAGCACTATATATCTCTTTCATGGAAGAATCACATAATAGAAGCCTCCTGGTCCAGAAGTCTGAGCTACAGCCTAGTAGAAAGAGCACACCAATTATTTCCAGACCTCAGTCATGTGGGTGTACTAATTAGACTGTCAGCAAGTCTCAGCTCTTCTCCAGTCTAAAGAGGACTAAAAGATACTTGGATTCTTACCAGGTAATTTTTGGTAGGTAGCTGTTACAGCTCATTACAAGTTCATGAGGTGGTAAACAACTTAAGTCTTCCTGGAGGGTACTAGCAGTTGCCAGTAAGAGTATCTCTGATCTGTAGACAGTCACAAATCCCAGTTGATGGCTCTTCTGGGGTACCTCCCAGGTCTTACCACCAGACAACATAAATGGGGCACTGACTTGTGAAACAGCACATACGTGCATCAGACACCAACAGGGAAGCTGAGTTCTGGCAAGCTGCCACGGATGTTTTACTTAGATCTGGTTGAAAAGCAGCCTCAGACCTCTGAACAAGGAACATACTTCTTGTTTGTGCAGGAAATAGGACTTCATTTGTACTCTTTCTAAGGAGAAAGGATTGCACACAAAAATGTTCCTGACCCATGAAATCAAGCTACGGCTCCAAAATCAACGAGTTCATCCCTTCCCTGGTGACAGAGGCATGAGTTACACTGCAGCAGTTGCATGCTGCAACTCATCTTCACTAAGCTTGAGGTCCTGAGTGTCTGAGCATTTTCTCTCTCCTTGTCTCCAGAGGGTAAGAGCTAACAGCACAGCTGCACTCTCAAAACAGTTGTGAAAAACTCTTAATTGCTTGCAGAAATGCAGCTGCCCTCGTTACTCAGCTGCACTCCAAAGCTATCTGTGAATCTCCCAAAGAGCAAGCCCATATCCAAGCCAAAACAGACTTTTTGCAGCTTGCTTTTCAACTGTGAAGCCAGGCTTCTCATGACACAAAGGTATGAATCTGAAACATAGGGTGTGACCATTCTCTGTCAATGAAAAGCACGAGGTCCCAAGTATACTAGGAAGAAGATTCAATGTTAAAGAATACTTATTTGTCTCTCAACTTATGCAGGGAAAAGTGTCCCATTGTCCAGGGAGGGGTCTCATTGTAAAAGCATATAATAGCACAATAAATCAGAGTCAGCACTGAATCTGTGAGTAAGAATACAAGCCCAAGCAAGACTATCAAGGAATCTCAGAAAAGGCAAATACCCTTTTTTTTTCTTCCTCTTCCAATCAATATTCTCCACCTGGTCTGATTTCCACAATGAACAAGAACACACTGTTGTAATTCCTGTGCATGTCCATGGCTCCAGATATGCCAGTAAAAGTAGTTAGTAAGATGTATCGTTACTCTGAGACAAAGGCTAGTGTCTGAATTTTAAGAGTGATGAGAACCCACAGCATCCATTTACTTTAACAGAAAACAGAAACACCAAGCACCTCTAAAGAAGAAAGATTCCCAGTAATTTCACTCAATTTCATATTATAAAATTAAATTAGAGTAACTCCAGCAGTTCTAATAGATTTGGCATGACTGCAGTTGTGGACCTGGCCTCATTTTGAGTGAATCTAAACAAGCCTCAGAGCTAGGCTTAAATCAAACTCCTCACATTTCACAGAGAAACAGGGGATATAAATTCTCCACTACTCATAGAAAATATAAGAGCAATTGGCAGGAGAATGGTCATGCCCCAAAGGTACTACCAGGTTTTAAAAGAGAATCAAAGGCCCACAGATCCCACATTTGTACAACTTTCTATCAGTATTTCTCTGTGTACCTATAACGGGCATAAGCTACTGTTGTTAAGGCCTGCTGCTGCTGTTCTTCTTTCTCTTCCAAACGGGACTTCCAGCGGTTCCAGAACTTCTGCAGCACCTGAAACAGAACAATACACATGAAAAAAACACAGATATCAAGGCAGGAAGAGAACCCAAAGACAGACATAATTAAATGTCTTACTGAAACCTACACTGTGTCACATGCCAACCTTGTTTTATAATCCGCTATGATTTTTTTCTGGTAAAAGTCACCCTAAACATAGGAAAAGAGGGGACTAAACTAAGACTGACAATTGACTTACATAGGAGGTTTTTTGTGGCTATTAGTATTTAGCAACAAAGCCACTGATTTAGCAAAAACCAGCATTTTGTAGATAAAAGTGGAAGCCAACAGGACAGCTGAAGAAAAACTAACACAGAGAAAGGTCAGACTCACTGTAACCTGGTGCTGACGGTGTGACAGATTTTTCCTCATCTGCTGAAGATGACTGTTGACAACGTTCTGCCAGAGACCCTTAAACCCCAGCGTCTGTAATAAGAAGAAATGTCCACAACTTTCATGCAATCCAAATCAGCACTCCATAGCTTAGAACTGGCTGATCCTTACAACCCATGGTTGATGCTACTCCTTGCAACAACTAAGATTTATGAGCTTCTCATCAAAGTCACGCATCAATTTCCCCTCACAAATCATCACTTCTTCAGCTAAACTAAAATGCCCTTCCACATTCCCAGGGTTTTATTACGAGACATCTACCTCCTCATTAAGCTATCAACACCACTACCCAAGTCCTTTCTCAATCTACCTCCTCCTTCACTTCAAGACTCCTAACTTGCTCCTTATCAGGAACAGAAAAGATCCACTCCCCTTTCAGGTCTCTTCTGCACAAGGTCTCTTGATCTACAATCCCACAATGCCTTGATTCAGAGATGAACATGGTAAAGAGCATTCTGAGAGCATCCTGCCTTAAAGTTCTCTTATAGTCAACGTTTTCAATCTATGATTTAAAAAGGTTTATTGACTGCCATTGCTTTGATGACCAGTACTGATCCACACTTGAACACAGTTCAGTTCCAAAAAAGCTGGAGGCCTGCTCATGCCTGAATCAGACAGAAACATTTGAGGTAGTGGCGAGAAGAAAAAAAAACAGGGAAAATCAAGGGGGGAAATGCACTATCACGGTGAAATGGCCAATAGCATCAAGATTAATCTGCTACAACACCAGCTTCCCAATTGGAAAAATAATTGTTCTGGAGAGCAGCACAGTTTGCCCATTTGGATTCAACTGGCAGATTTCAGAACAGCTGGAATTTAGAAACCTGATGGTAGAGCCAAACTCACCCTGGCAGAAAATGGGGCATTGCCCACTTAACACCCACACCCCACTCACTACTAGTATTAAAGGCACAGTGCCAGCCAGAAGTATCCAACTTCCCTTCACAGTCTCTTCCACCTGATGCATAACAGTGCTCTTACCAACAGATGATGCCTGTAGTGTTTTTCAGCCAGCTCACACTGCCGCGTCTCTTCCACACACAGTACAACATCTGTCACTGCGTTAAAGGATCCTCTACACAGAAACCTCCGCCCTGATACATACACAATCTTCTCCCACAGAGGGGCACTAGATCTCTATCTAAATTTGCTTCAGTACTTTAATTTCCAGCACTTACCTGCACAAGTTTTGATTATTGTTATGTTCACAGTATGTTTCCAATTCACTGTTAAGTAATCAATTCTTCTCCATCCCTACATTATCTTTCTGCTGGCTCCTAGCTGTCAGCAGGTTAACATAATGTAATTGCAACAGTTATACTAATTGTTAGTATGGCTGTACATACATCTTACTAATGGTAACATGTTTGTTGTCACCCATGCTACTGCACAACATTCCTGCTTATTAATCAGATCTTTTCCCTGCGGAAATGTTTTTAACCTGTCCCTCCTAGCGATTAAATACAGATTGGATACAATGCTTCCAGTGTGCAAAGACTCTCCGTAAGGCAATCCTTGATGCTAGCTTTTCCATGTCCTTTTGGTGAGCATGCATTCTTCTCCTGCACTCCCACGACAGCCGCCAGCTAGAGAAACACCACCGAATTATCCTGCTTTGGTGATGCTCTTGGGCCAGCTCTAGAAAACAAACATAGAAATTGCTCATTACTTGTTCCATCCTTGGCTCATTTCTACCAGGTAAGGCCATGACATTTAATCCACTGGTTCTGAAGTGACAGAAGCTCTAGCACTGATATATGGTGGTAAGAATTCACAGTAAGACTCAGCTATGGACTATATTCTTCCTATTGATCACAAAGGCAGTTTCAAAGCAGTAACATAGTGCACTCACTGAAGAAGGGAAACTTAAGACACTCAATCACTTGCAGTACAATGACAATGTGCACGTTTTCATCAAGGAAACCTAAAGCATTTTAAATCACATGGAAAGCAAGTTATCTCCTCAACAGTTCAGTATATAACCTTAGCTAGCCTTAGCAGCATATAGTCCAAGTTGCATCTCACCATCTGTTGAGTAAGCAGAAACACTGCAGCATCTCCTAGAATAGAAAAAGCCATCACTGTGCCTTAAGCAAAGGGGCTGAGCCCTGCTCAGTCCTAACTCATCATTTTCACTCACCAGTCTGAAGTTTCTTTGTTTTGTGAAGGTTTACATATCCCAGCCATGCTTCCATGCACCTCTTCAACTCCCAGTGCCGATTGTGAGTTACTGCCCTAGTCTCCTTCTGCTTGTTATTCTGGTTGTACAAATACAGCTCTCGCCACTGCAGCCAAGCCTGACAGTACAATTGAGGAGGGAGGGCAATAGGAAAAAAAACCCAAACAAGATTAGGGAAGTAGAATAAAGAAGACAAAAGGAAGAACACACAGGCAATAGTAAATTCAAGGTGAAATCCATGAGCAATGAGGTATCTCCCCACAATGCGAGGAAAACACCTAACCAACCAACTGAATAAGAAACAAATATCAAAGGAGTGTAGCACAGACAAGGTCAAAGACAAAGAATTGATATTAAACTTTTTAATTAATACTTTCACATTTTTTACATTAAAATGCCAAAATAATAGGCTTTCAGAGTATTTTCATATGAAAGAGAATCACATCTTGAGATAAGATTTCCCAAGCCATGAGTTTATCTCCTTAGCAGAAGAAAATTAGGCAGCATTGCCATCTTACAGCACAGGCCAAATTAAATATCATTTAACACCTGCATTTAATGACATGGGCAAAGGGCCAGTTCCATCAAAAGAAAGAAAACCTGTTTTCTTTAATACTGTTTTCACCAGCTAGGAGGAACTACTTACTGAAGGAGCTGACAACCTTTTAAGAATATGAAATGCTGGATTATATTTTCTTACCCCAAAATGGAATTAAATATGCTCACAGAAATTCATTAGGATGTAAGAAATGTTGTCTTACAAAGAGGCAGGGTGCTGACAAACAGCTGACTAGTACTATCTTGCCTCTTAATGGATAGTGGATTGGAGTTCAGCTGGATGCAAATACTCTTCATGCCCTGCACAAAATGCCAGAGCTGCAAACACACACACCTGGTTAACCTCCTATTGACCTGTAGCTAGTTTCTGTGATGGGGAGAACTCTTGATAGTTCCACTATCATCAAGCACTGTGTAAGACAGTAACAATTCCTTTGGACAGTCTGCTTCCTAGCAAATACAAGACATGGATCCAGTTTGCTTTGCCTAGATTTCTCTTAAAAAAAATTGGTCTGACCTTCTTCACAGAATATCTCAAGTTGGAAGGGATCTGTAAGGATCATCGAGTTCAACTCCCTGCTCCTCCCAGGACTTCTTAAAACCAAATCATATGACCAAGAACATCATCCAGACACTCCTTGAACTCTGACAGGTTTGGTGCCATGACCACTTCCCTGGGGAGCCTGTTGCAGCGACTGACCACCCTCTCAGTGAAGAACCTTTTCCTAATGTCCAATTTGAACTTCCCCTGACACAGCTTCATTCCATTTCCTCATGGCTTAATATGCTCTTCCATCATAAGTACTGCAATTCACAAAGCAAATGAGTATAAGGCCTATACTTTAACAACCTGCAACACTAGTCATATGTATGTGTGCATGCAACTTAAAAATTAGATCTGGTAGTAGGTGAAGCTCCTGGGACTTACTCGAAATTGCAGGCTCTGGGCCCAATGCTGCAGAGCCAAAACATTCATTTTATGTCCTGTGCCACTCTGGTAGCGTCTTCTCCACACCGCCCATGATATGCTGCCAAAAAGTATGTTACAGACATGTTCAAATGCAGGTTCCATAGCTCAGTGCAAGAAACCACCTTCCCCTCACCGGAAAACACATTAATAACAATCTTTAAAATTCACAGTCTCTGGGTGTACCAGAAGAATTCAGACACACAGACCCCCAAAAGGAGGAAAAACCAATTTAAAATCTAACATGGAACAAAGTCACTGGAGGAAGAGATAACAGGACACAGGTGAAACCCATGGCATTATGGTCAGTGCATTTCTGCTTGCTTCCATTCCATTCTCACCGCAAACAGCTTCTTTCCCTGAATGCCCATGCCACAGACTGCATCCCACGTTTTGTCCTTCGGACATCAACATAAACCAGCCAGCACTGCCAGGTCCTGAGCAAGTTTTGCTTCTTTGCTGTGCACAAAACAAAAAAAATACTGCATCTTAAGTTCGTGCATGAATGCAGCACTTTTTAACCACTTAAAACATCTGAACTGTTCTTTAACTTGCCCCCGAGCTCCATCCCCCTCAACCCGCAGTGACACCTCGTGGGAAACCCCGAAACAGCACTACCAGCCGCGAAAAACCATCCTGGCTGAGGGTGTCACACGGACAAGAACCTTTGAAACGCTGACAGCATCATGCCACTTGGTCAGAGCAGCGTGAATTATCAGACAATGCCACTGCTTTGTCTTCAGTGCTTACAGGGTATATAACTGTAGAACAACATTCAGCGTAACAACCTTACTGAGTAAGAATCACAGGATTTTCTTTGTTTCATTTAAAAAAGAAGTTCATCAGGTTCATCAGTAGCTTTTCAAGAGTTATTCTCTATCACAAGCAGAGAAATCAACCAGAAACAAGCTAAGTTTATTTAGCAAGCTGATCATGCAGCTAAAACCAGAAGTGGTGCCACAAATTCCAGTTTACCACTTTATGCAGTGCATTGCACTTTCTCTGCACAACAGTCTGGCTTCCCAGAACTGACACTATAGAAGCCAAGCTGTTAGAAAAAACATCACTGATTTTATGCCATTTCACACAAACCCCAAACAAACAAAAAAACAAAAAACCACAAAACCACAAAAAACAAACCCCACCCTCCCCCCCCCCCAAAAAAAATAATCAAACCCCACCACATTTACGGTTTCAGATTTCCTTGTGATCTGGTGAATCAAGTATTAAACTACCTTAGTCACTTTTCTATGTAAGTAACACACAGCTGCTTCAGTAAGCACTCTGCCCTCAGTAAGAGAGGAAATCCAGATAGCCTCTCAGTTTGTTTCCAAAGGCCCAGTCTATGGCCTACATTCACATGCAAAGAGACCAGTTAACTTATTTTGCAAATCAGCACAGAACAAAACCACAGGATCACCTTTAACACAGGGGCATCCTCACCTTCAGGGGAACATACCCCTGAAGCCAAAGGAAGTTGCAATCAATATATGCAATTTCATAAGCAGGACAAACCCACTGCAAAACAAAAGCTCTACACAGTAAGATAGGGTGCATTCGTTTGGGCCTCTTTTCAATTGCAAGACACAAGCTAGAAGGAACAGTGAATACAGATAAGATATGTGCAGTTAATACCCCAGGGAATTATTACCTAATTTCTACAGTTGCAGTTGACAGAATTCCAGTAACACATTCTATCAAAAAATAGCTATGTGAACACATATTGTGATAATGAAAAACAATCAAACAAAACAACCAAAACACCCCCCAAAATAAACAATGCAATCCAGAGCAGATGGAGAGGCCCTTAAGCTTATTCACTGGCATCCCTAAATACTAGCTAGCTGCAGTGTACTACATCAAACAGAACCCCCCTGCCAGCTTTAAGACAGACAACCATCTGTACCTAAAAGCATTACATTTCCATGGGGTGGGGGAGCGTTGGGGGAGGTGATGTGAAAACATGTACAAGGGACAGAGATTCTCTTTAAACATTTCCCATGTAAATTCCCATCTCAATAGGCCACCCAATAAAGCACTTCACTTACCATGAGACTGTACAACACAGTATTTGTTCCTCTTCTCTTGTTGCTGCCTTACATGGGCTCTCCAGGCCTTGAACATCAAATTGCACAGAAAATGCCTGAGAAATGAAAAAGTGCCATTCAGTGAAATAGCTACCAAAGGCCCAGAGTAGGATTCTTTCAAGTTCTGTTATACTCTAAAGATAGGTTGAATTGGAAATATGAAGATAATCAGTGAAGACACTGCTTCTGGCCTAGAAGTACTGCTGATGCCATTTGCTCACTGGTGTTAGTAACTCCTTCAGAACCTAAAGAAAACGTCTCATATACACATAAGAACAGGAAGTCATTTCACAAACCTGTAATGGTTGTCTGCTCTGAGGCTGAGCTTTCCTTCTCTGCAAACAGTCCACCACTCCTTCCACTCTCCAAAAGTTTTTTGAAGAATCTTCTGGTCATAAAAGCATCTAAACAGTTGAAAGATTTGGACATATGAAAGTTCATACAGGCTTCCAGGTTGACCACAAATCAGTTTTAATGAAGATTATGTTACCTTTATTCCAGCCTTGTCTGATTAGCCTATCTAATTGCACTTAAATACCACTATCCTACTGTGACACTTCATTCCAAGACTTTGTGAAGTATGACAAGAAACAATCAGCTTACTGACTGTAAATACTTCACATAAAGTCAAGGAAGGAAAGACAGATGTTGCCGACTCATCAAATACCAGTGCCAGTTGACTTCAAACCTATGAATAACTTGCATCTCTTATCCTCATTTGTGTTTTACTCAGACCACCAGCACAGTTGGTAATGGTACATGTATTTTCCTTGCTGATTTTCTTTGTTAAACACAAAATATTTTTTGTATAGAAATAAATACAAAAGCTACTTCAGCTTTTGTAACACTTGGATTGTTCCCTTCTGTTCTTAGAAACAGCTGATCTTAGGTCATCCTAAATTTAAAATCTTCTTTAAGAACACTTAAATAGGCTTAAGAACTCCCTCAGCTAGTTGCACACCACCCACACTAAAATCAAAGCTGTTCATCTGCTCATGTACCTTCTCTTTCCAATGGCTGCTAAGCCATGCACAAAATGGATTCACAAGTCACATATAACCTCCAAATTCATGCACCTTAGTAGAACAGTCTCTGCTTTTATACCCAGATTTCATTAGCACACAGCTGACCATGTAAGAAGTGATGCTACTTTTAAACGGATTTGTGAACAACTGAAAATTAAAATATAGGAGGGTCTGCATGAAGGAATTAGGATTTTGATCACCTAACTAAAAATAATGGTCATAATCTACTACTTCAAGCCATTTGTGGGTTTTTTTCATTTTGAAATATTTTATCAAGCATTTTTCCATGTGATCAAGATGACCTAGGCATCAGCCTAAGAACTGGAAAAGTTCTTCTGAAACTGGAAAGTCTCATCAACAGGAATACAAATACTTTCAAAAACATTCTTCTGTTTTGTGATAGACAGGAGGAAAACAGAAGGACCCGTGAAAACATACAAGCTAACAAACAAAAAGCACGCAGACTCACAACCTTTGATCACAACTACTCCACCAGCTTAATGAAATTGGTCATGTCTGCAGTAACAGGATTAGGCCTGGAATACCCAGAGATCCCTCAGTAAAACACATCTGAATCCTCTCACAAGCTGCAGTTCAGAGCTACCTACCCCAAGCCAAGTTGCTAAGTCATTCCAAGCACTCAAGCAGAAAAGGAAAAAAAGAAAAAAGAAATGAGCTTTATGTTATAATTATTTGGACGTGGTGCACTAACAGAACATTGCAATTATAGATAACTGAGGGCTCTGAAGTCTAAAAACGCAATTCATTACTTCTTATGTTCCTTGCTGAACTTCATAAAATGTACTTTTACTCATCTGCCTGAAAAATAAATAAAAGAAGTAATCATTGTCCTGAATTTAGACACAGCCAAAGCAGTGCAAATGCAGTATATGGGATAGCAGAGTAGAGAGGTTCACAGAACAACTTCCATTTACCAGCTAAGGCAGACATACATGTACAGTGTATTCCAACTACATACAGTCAGATACAGTACAATGAAATAGGATAACTAAGGGCCTGGTCTTATTCTGACTGTAACAAATACAGGTCTTCCCACTGGGAACTGCTGCAATTCCCAAGGGTGTGGTCAAACAAGAATGAACATGCAAATTAAAGCAAAACAAGAAAGGAGTATCCAAGTGTTGGGTTTCAGTAGCTGACAGGAGGCTAAAACCAGGAACAAATTCTCTGCCACAGGTATTTCAGACAGTTACAAAGCATAAATGGATACACATTAAGAACATAGTGCAAACACTAAAATGAACTGAACTGCAAAATCTCTAGTTGTAACTTTGAAAAATTATTCATTTCAAAGCAGGTATCACAACCCTACCCCAGTATTTATATGCACATAAGGTTAAACTACAACAAGATAACCACAATTCCATGAGTTTAGTTTGTGAAGTTAAACCATGATTACCAAAAACAATCAAAAAATCAGGAGGAAGAAGAGCATTCAGCAATTTCTAAGACATCCATCCAGGTATTTTCTGTGCAGCAAGTACTCTCAGCCCAGTGGTACAGCACTAAGCCATAAAAAAAATAAAATAAAAAAAAAGGGAAGAAAAGCCCCCACTGAACTTTTGTAATTTTATCTACCTGGCTTTGGAAGGGAGAACTTGTCCAAATGTCTTTTTTGCCCATATACAGAAGAATTTGTTTGCCAGATACCTGGAATGTAAGGAAAGGTTAATTGCCTTTGTACTCTTCCTCTATTAATTCCAAGGCAGCAGTGAAATAAGAAATTTTATGCTAGTTTCAGTAATAATACCAAGGATCTGGTTTTCAAAGATCAATGCCTATACGAAATATTTACCCCATGAAATTAGTACCTTTAACAGGACTATTCACCAAGCAAAACTGCATCATTACAAGCCGTACTGGGACATACTTCCTTAGAAAACCCAGCTTGCTGAAACATATTCCAAGCAGTCCACTTACACCCACTGATACTATTGAGGAGGCTGCTGATTAACTGGGGGGCCTTTCTGTGATTTAGAAGCAGTAACATCACTGTCTCCCTGAAGTCAACCAGCTGAGTCAGACTTGTTTCCACAGCAGCCAGTCTAATGATTACTCCTGCCTGAAACCAGCAGCTCTTCTTCCTACCTCACCCACAGCAGTCCTACCTCTCAGTCAGCTTCTCCTTGTACCAGTTCAACTCACTAATTTGTGGCTGTGAGGCTGTCACCTTCCTCCCCCCCCCCATTCCCTTTTTATTTTCACAAAGGGATTTAAGAGTTAACTGGCACACAGAGGGCCCCAATAAGCACCAAAGACATCAAGGTAATTAATTAAAGCACACAGTCATAAATAGGCCCTGCCTCTTTCAGCAGGTCTGAGTTGCTGGATCAGCTCCAGTTGTTCAACACATATTAGGCTTTTAATTGCTAAACAATTGCCATCCCACTTTTGTCAAGATTCCTTCTACAAACAAAAGAAACACAAGAGGTGGGCAAGATCAAATCATTAGTCTTTCTACATTAGAAAGTAAAAAATTTATATAATTTGACTGTGCCAATGCATGTCCTCAAATTACCACAAAATATCTTCAGAACTGTTTCTCATGCCTGTGAACAAAAACCTTTGCCTTAGCCTGCACTTAAACTACTAAAACCAGAGTTCTTCAGGTCTGATCCCCCTGCTCCATTCAGTGAAGACTACGTTTTGTGTTTATCACCTGATTTGGCATTCTTTTACCCTTCTTCTTTGATGCCAGGTATACCAAACTCGATCCAAACTCTCATGACCTCTGTCGTGAAATTGATGTCTGGCAGACTGGGGAGCAATGGATTGCTCAGCTGTGTGCACCTCATGCCCAGGTAGTTGCTGGATTTCATACATCTTCATATGCATCTTCTGCATCTTCAGAGATTTTGAACTTGAAAAAAAGAAATATTTTGTGTGTAACTACATTAACTGCAAACAAGTGGCATGATTTCAACAAGTTAATCTCTAATGCAGCTATACAATCACATCTAGAAGTTGATGGCTATGAAACATTTTTTATCTCTTTATCAGGCATTTTTCACTATCTAGAATTTTAAGGTTGTTTCCCCAAGACAAGCAGGAAGACATATTTCAGTGCAACCATGTCACAGACAATTCCTTTCTCCTCTAAAGTTGAAACGAAAAAGCACTAACATACATTTGTGCTTTCCCTCCCATGTGTGTTCATACAGTGTGCCTTTACAGAGAACATTTGAATATGTTTTTCTGCCTTTTTTTCCTCAAACATATCAACATACTCTGTCTATTGCTGACAAATTCTCTTGAGGACTAGGGAACTGGAGTGATAATTACTCATTTTAACAGGAAATGCATTTACAAAGACAGTTATTTTCCAAGGAGCCCTCTCATGAGCTTTGCTCATATTTTAACTAAATGTGTTGCTTTAACAAAACTAAAAATCCCTTCTAAGTTTTTTACCTATTTATCATCAAAGAGCAAAATTTGGTATATTTTCCCATCAGTTTACTTTCACACATAGCTCTAATCTGAAAAACAAGTATGTTTTTATGAATTCTGAGTATTCTGTCTCAGCAATTTCCTGAAAACAAGGATGATTAAAAAAAAAAGATAAAACCCGCTGAACCAGTTGTATTGAAGCTTCTTTCCCAAAACAAATACTGCCACCACCCTGAAAATTTGCACATTAGAACCACAAACACATTCTTGAGCTGCTTAACAAGGCAAGAGAAGAGGATAGTCTGAAATCTAATAATCACTTGAACTGAGCAGGAAAACTATGGCTACAGCCAGAAAAAAAATGCTGGTTCCACAGTTATTGGAATAATCCATAATAGAAATTTTCAGGAGTTCAGGTGAATAAACCTCACAGTGTTAACAACAAATCATTGGGGGTGGAGAACAACAAAACCACACACACACTCACACAATAACTCAGAGAAGGAAATACAGTATTTGGGCTTCTTCCAGCAAGCTGCAAGGAGCTAAACTGGAACTAATGAAAGAAAGTGAGACCTATATTTTGTGTGAGAGAGAAATCCTTATTCTCCTATAATATTATCTGCTGTCTGAAAGAAGAGGACCCTATCCAGCTGACAAAATAATTCTGTTCACATTAAGATGTACAGTTAAGGTAACTATATGCGCTGCTGAAAAGAGTTTCAGATACTACTAAATATATGTAAAACAGCTTTCACCATGAGTTCCTGTACTGATGTATTATGCTCAACTCCTTTTAAAACCTTCTAATGTGCTTCAAAAGCAAACCTGGTCTGACCATCCACAATGACAATGGAACACAAAACAGTCAAAAAATCAAGCTTGGGTAGAACATGTAAGTTTCACATTAAGGTCTGAGGCATGTGAATAACTAACGATTGTCCAACATATCCAATTTTAAACACAGTATTCCTTAATTTGAAATACTGTATGTGCTACATGTATTTAGTGACGACAGCCCATGTCCGTGAGGATTTACAACAAGCCACTATGAAAAATGAGACTCAGACATCATTTATCCCCTGTAAAATTAGAAAATAAATTCATGGGAAGAACAAGAAAACTGACACCACCATGGAATAAACTTCTGGTTGGGCCCACAGCTATATCCAAATATGTTCTAGTGTAATACCTCGAGCTACAGAACATCATTTTTGTGTTTGACTATTATAATAATGTAAACCCACATAAAGTTGTGTTTAGTGATGGGTTTCAGGGTGGTGTGTTTGTTGTTTTTTCATTTGGTTTTTAAGAGGAACACTTTCTGGTTAATAGCATTTTATAGAGACCCTCATATGAGACTGTCTCCACTTTCTTCCGTCTCATGGAATGTTTAGGATGTCATAATTAAAGAACAAATAAAATCACAGCTGAGGTCATTAACAAAGTAGCATCTTATTCGTGCTCAGCTGTTTCTGGATATCTTCATTTTGCTCTAGGTGCAAGTCTGTAGTAATCAAATACACTCTCTGCACTGCAATGCTGCATATTAGCTCTGGGCAAAGCATAAATTTCTTCCTGTTACTTGTGACAAACCCATCAAACAGCCCTATACTAAATGCAGTCTGCATCTTAACACTAACACTCAACTGACCTGCATACAAGTAACATAATGCAATTCTAGATGTTTGGCATGAAAAGCATCTTCCTGTCTGCACACTCACAGCCTTACTGACCTGAACAACATTGCACTGATATTATTGGTCAGAAAGTCATAACCGGTTGAATCCTAAGACAGCAGCACCTGCCTGAATAAGGTTCTGCTAGAAATACACTATAAAAAGATGACCCTAAGTTATGTTCTCCCATTTAGAAACAAATTCATTACCTAGTAATGATAGTAGTGATAAAATCAGTACCTAAACAGACTCCTTTTCACTTTGTTTTTCCTCCTAAGCTTCTCTCCTTTCACAAGCACAGAGAAATTAATAAAACAATTAATTCCATCCAGCTCCAGTACACAGAGCCTCATGGAGAGCAAGGACTGTGAGAGCACCTGAACTTATCTCAGCAATCTCCTCCTAAGTGCAAGGTTTAAGGCGTGACAGAGAAAAATACCCAAAACTTACAGCAGTCAATCAGTCTGCTTGCACAAAACTCCTTTCGACGTACGAGAATTATAACCTGAACGCCTTTTTGTGCTTAAGGACTCAAAAACCGCGCGGCATTGCTCTGAACCCCTCCGCCAGGGGCCGGAGGCCGCGGTCACAGTGCTGGCCTCCCGGGCCACCCAACGAAGGAACCGGCCGGCTGCCGTGACCGGCAGGCGAAGGCAACACCAGCACCGCGCCCCTTGGGAGGCCCCTGCGGCCCCCTCCGCACCACACGAAAGCCGACGGTGCGCAGGGGGAGTCCGGGGGCTCTACTCTCCCTAACGGAGACGTCACCGCTCCCGCACACGACTGCACAGCCCCCGCTGCCTCTGCAAGCCGGCTCCGCACTGGGCGAGCGGCAGAGACCCCCAGTAGGGGCCGGAAAAGGCCGCCACCGAAAGCGCTTGCTCTGGCTCTCCCGTACCTCAGAGCAGGACGGAACAGGCCCCGCCCACCGCTGCGAAGAGCGGCCGGAGCGCCCCCTACCCGCTCGGCGGTGCCGCAGCGCCCCCCGGCGGCGAGGAGGTGTGCCCGGTCGTGAAGCTGTCGCCGCCGCCGCCGCGCCGGTAAGGGCCGAGGCTGCGCTGTCCCCGGGCCCCCGGGCCGCCCCAGGGCCGCCGCCACCGCCAGGACAGATTTACCGACCTCGGGCATAAGCCGCAACGCCGAGCGGCAGGAAAGGGGCTGATCTCGCTATGGCACCGAAGGGCTGGAGGTCCGAGGCCACCTCTGTGCCCCTCGGCGGCTTCACAGCAGCTGCCCGGTAACGTGCGTCTCACCATGAACCGGCCTGGGGAACACAGAAAGTGGCGACGAGTACAGAGGCTGCAAGGAAACACAACCGCGTTCCGGAGTCCCAAGGGCAGTGCCTGCAGCACCTCACGACGGCCCTCAGCCCTCAGCTCGGCCGCTGGCTACCATCACTCCTCAGCAGGTATCTGCTTAGAGAGCAAAGCCGCTAGAAGCAGCTGTAAGAGTCACAGCACTTGTGACACAGCGCCCTGTCACTCGAGGGGAAACCGGGAAATGTTTATTTCCATTTAATCCACAGGCAAACGGTTTGTAATGCTGGCATTCAACCTCATTAGCGATCAAGGAAGAAAACGTTTTGTCCACCAGACCCTACCAGTGTGTCCTTGTCCTCACTCCTGCCTCTCTGCCTGAGGAGTCTGGAAAAGCGGGGCCCCCGCTGCACGGTGTGCGTGGTGCTGGGATGCGGGCGCTGCGAATGCTGCTCCCCGACCGAGCCGCGGGCGAACGGAGCAAGTGAATTCCTCACTAAGTGAACTCCTCCAACTGACGGTGTGAACGGTTTTCGCTACATGGTTTAGCAACAACTACAGGATCTGTCAGGTGCGTGCGGATGGCCCACACCGACCGTCTCCCTGCCGCCCACGACAACGCCAGTTCTGTGGACAGAGACTGAGGGTGTTCTAAACCACAGACCCGCTGGCAGGCGGCGTGCCAGGGCCCCGCGCTACTGCTGCACATCAAGGGCCGGCCCCGTCAGACCTCGCCCCCCGCCGGGACGCGCCACGCAGGGCGGGAACGGCAAAGGCGCTCGGCGGCAGGCGGGCAGTGTCAGGGCAAGATCTACTCCGCGGAACGGGCGGTGCGGGACCAGGACGAAGCTGTCAGCCGCGCCTCCTGCCTGCGCCGCTGCTGCTGGCTCGGCCCCGAACGCTGAGGGGACCGCGCTCCAGCCGCCGCTTCCCGCCCTTTCCCCCCCGCGCTTTCTCCACAGCAGCGGGCCTGCGGCGGCGCGGGGACACGTCCGCTACCCGCTACGGGGTCGGACCCGGCCCCGCTACCGCCTCTCGGTGCCCAGCACCCGGCACATGGCGCGCACCACGTCCCGCCGCCGCTGCTCCCGGCGGCCGCCTCCCCCGCAGGGCTGCCCGCCGAGAATGCCTGCGGGCCCTTGGGGAGCCCCGAGCCTTTCCTCATCCACCGCAGCGCTCGCAAGGTGAGAGGGCGATCCGGGGGGCGGCGGGGCGCAGCCGCCAGGCAACGGGGAAAGCGCGGCCCCGCCACCTCCCGCCTTTCCCGGTCAGGCGCCGGGCGGGGGAGCCCCGGTGCGCGCGCCCGCCGCCGCGCCTGCGCGCGGGCCATTAAAGGGGTGCGGGGTGGGCAGCGGAAGGCCCCGGTTACGGCGGCTGAGGAGAGACAGAGTCGGGCGAATAGGGAGCGGGCGCGCGAGCCAGCGCGGAGGGGCCGGAGCCGCGCTGAGCGGAGGCGGGAGGGGAACGGCGCCGGCCCGGGGCGCGTGTGGCGCGTAAAGGGGGGGTCTGAGCACGGTGCAGGGCGCCTCCGGGGGGGGGGCGGGCAGGGGCGAAGCGGAGCCGGTGGCCGGGAGCAGGAAACGCCGCGGGCTGCTGTAAGGCCTTCAGCTGAGCGCCGCCGGGAGACCCGCCGCCGGAACGGTGAGTATGACCGCCGGGGCGGGGGGTGGGGGGCTGCCGGTGCAGGTGAGGATCCGCTGAGTCACCTGCCCTGTCTCCGGCCATACCCTCCCGCCCCGACCCCGGTGCTTCGGGACGGGGCCTGGGCCGCGCCGCGGGCCGCGCTGCCCCCGCCGCCACGCCACGCGGGGTGGGGGTGTCCCAACGGCCCCGCTTCCTCGACCCTGACGGTCGCCGCTGTTTATCCCCACGGAAGGATCTTTGTTGTGCTAAAGAGGCTGGGGACCTGGGCTGCGATCCGGGAGCGGGGCCGGTGCGGCCGGGCTTTGGGAGCAGGTCGGGCACTTCAGCGGGAGCTGTTTGGTTGGGGCGGGGAAGCTACAGGCAGAAATAAGGCAGTGTTGGGAAACGCGTTCCTTATCTGGTGTAGCCAGGTCCCAGATAGGCTGGAAGGAAGAGGCACCCCCTGGAAATATATGCCTCAAAATCTGACGGCTTGGCTTTTGTTTTAATTAGGTCCGTGGTCAGAGGCTTTGAAGTAATCATGGATAAAAGAGGAGGCCTAACAGAGACTGAAAATGGTGATGCGTTCCTGGAGCTGAATAGAATTACAACCAAGTACCCGCATCGCTACACAAAGGTGGGCTCTCTCCCCTTCCCTCTTTGAGTTGTGCACGGAGCTCTTGGTCACAGAAGTAGAGTGGGAGGTGCAGGTTCTGCAGGAGCTAAGCACTAATGGGAAGGCAGGAAGGCCTTTACCTAGATCAGGATTTGCGAGGTGGTGCAAGATGTGTAACTTGTTAAATGTGAGGTGGCTGTGTCAGTCCGGCCTGTGATACACTTTTGATTCCCACTGTATGTCAGTATCTGAGCACCTTGCAGCATGTGCTGGAGAGATTATGGTAGAGGCTGAAGTATGTTGTTCTGCTAGCTTGCTCAAGACTTGGGTTCCATAGTTCTGGTTAGTTTTCAGCAATATTCCTTTAAGAAGTTGACCAGAATGTTTCCTTACAGTAGGTGCCACTTCCTTGGAATGTAGAGCACACTGGATTTTACCAGGAGCTTTAATTTGTTTGCTAAGATGGCTTTTGTAGTCTTAAAATTGCTCATGTTTGGATGCTAGAAGCCTAAGCACTTATGATCCCAACTAGTGCTTAGTATTAGAACTCCAACACAGGTGCTTTTGTTTAGCTGTGGTACCTAAATACATACATGTATGGAAGAGCAATAACTGAGTAACTTGTAAACAAGGATTCTTTCAATACTAAGTGAGCTTGATATGCTGTGGGTTTGAATATACATATGGTTTAAATCTGGTTTGGGGTTTTGGTCCTGCTGCTGAAACTTGCCTTAAGAATGGTGGCTGATTTTCCCATTGCTGAAAGCTGTGGGAACAGGTGTTCATTGCTTTGTGGAAATCAATTAAGATACTTTGCAACAAATGGCCTGAAGTGTGGAACAGGGTGAGACTGTACTGTTACTGAGTGTGTTATCTTGAGGAATTCTGAGCTGTTAGCTTCCTAGCAGGTGGTTCTCAACAGAAGAAGAGGAACTTATCACTGTGTCTCTGTTCTGTCAAGGTAGTAGGGCTGGCTTATTTTGACTAGACATCAATAACAGTGGTTTGGATTTGATGCAGTTTATGTGGGAGTAGTATGGCTTTCTAACTGTAACTTCTTAAGAGAAGATGTACACTCTTAAGATGCAAAATGTCCTATTGCTCAGACCTTGTTATTCAGTTAACTGTAAAGTAAAGGAGAGGAGCTGACTTTAAGCATCCACTGCTGGGGAAGTGCTGTCTGTGCTAGTTCAATCCTACCCGGCTCCTCTCAAAACTAGTAACTGAATGCAGCTTCATATCCTATTTACTTTTTTAGGCAGTATTCACCTAGTACTGGTGGTAGCTGTGCACTGAAACTGGTGCATTTGTAGCTTCACTTTTGTTAATTTAGTACGTATTGTTTCTGATCAGGATAAAGTGGCAGAACTAGTGCCAGAAGACATCTAGTCTTGTTTATCTATTGGTTCCCAAGGAGTCTAAAGTCAAACACCAGAAATAAATCTGTGTTAACAGATCTTGCATCATGTTTGGGGCTTTTTTTGGTCTTGTTTGTTTGTTTGTTTTGTGTTTGGTGGATGTTTTTTATTTCATAAGTAATATTTGAGATGCAGCTGGTTTGAGGTGCTCAGGTAATCATGTTGTAAAACACTCTCATGTGATCCAGTTTCCTATTGATTATGGATGGGAGGAACACTGGTTCAGGACATGTGCTGCTGATTTGGAAAGGGACTGATTTCCTGTATCTTCTTTAATACCAGTAGAAAAACAATTAGCTTGTAGCAATCCTTCTGAACTGTTTCAATAAAACGCTTTTTCCCCATCTGCTTTCAAGTACTGGTGTGTGAATTAATAAAAACAACCCCAAAACACCCTGGAAGTGCCAGCATTAATATCCTCCAATATGAGAGGTGTTATATAGTCCAAGCTGTGTCTTTACTAGTTCTTTAGATGCTGTTGCTCCAGGGATGCACAGCTAATGAGCTAAAGCAGAGAAACAGTTCAAATTCTCCTCACCCCAATGGAAGAATTGCAATAGGATCTGATGGAGAGTCTATGGACTCCCTCTCGTGGCCAACAGAACAGGCAATTTCAAGTTCAGTGGTGGACAGTGCTGTTAATGTTGTAATACTGTCATAGCCTGATGCACTTACTACAGCACTGGTTTATTTTGGGAAGCTGTGGGCAGAGAGACCAGTCTCCCTCCCGTTTTTTGCTGAAGACTACTACAGGGTGATGCTTGGTTGTATGTATATATATGTGTATGTGTGTATTAAGATCTTTGGCTACCAAGCTGCTATCTGGAAACTTTCAAGTATCAGGCTCACCTAGGTAATGCACTGATTTTAATCACCTAAGGATAATGATGTAAAAGCTCTAGACAATATTGTATTATTTGGAAAAAGGTAAAGAGACTTTCTCCTTCAGTTTGGCTGATATGTGGTGTCTGCTCTTTGGATCTCTGTATCCTTCCAGCTGCCCCCTGATATCTGCACAGTTCTGAATCACTTCAGTACAGTTGGGAGTGAGGCAGATTGAAGAAAGGTAATCTAGGGAGAATGAGTAAGTTTTTAGTTAGAAATGTGCATCTTGACTGCAGCCAAGTCGATGATGATTCAAAGCACCGATAGTCACACCATTAATAATGCTTTTTAAATGGAGCAGACTGCAGTGAGTCTGTAGATTGATTCCTACTCTGCCTCAAATGACTAACTGCTCAGGAGTGTGCAATAGTAAACTACAGACTGTATTTGAAAGCTGGTGGAAAGTGGGAAAACTGGAGTAATCATTCAGCATTGATTTGGTGTTGGGTAGAGCGGGTAATTGTATAGCATGCACTTAGATATCTTGGAATGGGTGGTAGTCAGAAATGGCAAGCTTGTCTGGAATTTCCAGATCTACATTAGTAAGTGGTGTTGTGGTAATGCTTTTCTTTACCTGCTGCAACTCATACAGTATTGAGCATAGTAATATTTATTTCATTCAACTTGCTTGCTCCACTAGCTATGATGGTAACCTTACCTATAAGCCAAACTGTCCAGGGAAGTGAATAGGTTAACACGTATGATGCAAACAGCCTTTGAAGGACTGAGCTTGACTAGGGATGTTTAGTACTTCAAATATCTGTTTGCTCAGTGACCGCTGCTAAAAGAACTGAAAAATAAACTTGCTGTATAATGTCAGCTTTACACTGTGGCATTTTGCACAAAGTGAAATGACACAGTGGGAAACTTGGGTTGTCAAATTAAAACACTACATTGAACAGGCAGTCTGGAACAGATTTTGTCACTTGAAACTTGTCTGGGTGAGAACTGAAACTAACTTCTTGCCCTTTTTTTATTATAGGAAGAACTGCTGGATATTAAAGAGCGTCCCTACTCTAAGCAAAGACCTTCTTGTCTTTCTGAAAAATATGACAGGTATTGTCTTGATTATGCAAAAACTTCTGTGTTTTCAACAAAGGTTATAATATGAGATCTAGCAGAAAATAACTTCACAACACAAGTCTTAAGACCTGTAGGACAGCTACCAATAATATAGATGGGTGTATAGCACAGACCAACTAGGTCATGTTGCAACAAGCTGACTTGCTTGATGGCTTACTCTCCCATGTTGACGGTACCTCATTTAAAAATGAAGGTGAGAATGTTCTTGGCTTGTTTGTTAATTTGCTGAGCATCGGTATCTTTACTTTTTAGATTCATTTATTGTACAAGTATGAGATTGAGGTAACATTTTCTTAATGAGAAATGACAGTATACAATTCTATGATCTACTTGTTAAGTTTTCCAGTGTACCAGGCAAACTTCACCAAATCACATGTTGCCCCCTTTATGATATGGTTCTGAGCATTATACTTCCTTACTGCTACAGAAGGGATCCAGAATACCATGTATGAGGTAATAAAATGTAGTAGGGCAGAGATGTAGAAGCTGGGTATGAAAGCTGTTTCACTTGTAGAGATTGCTAGTCGGCAAACTCTAGGTTTACAGCAGCAGTGTTATGAGCTATCTACTAGACTCCAAGGTAGCAAACAACCCTGTGATTTTATTTCCATAGTGATGGGGTGTGGGATCCAGAGAAGTGGCATGCATCTTTATATCCAACATCAGGAAGAACTTCACCAGTGGAAAGCTTTAAGAAAGATTTGGATTCAGATCGGACTTCTCTTATGCGTAGGATAGTAGGTAAGTGTGTTCTTAGAGCACAAGACTCAAACCTGAGCATAAGCTGTTGGCAAAACCTTTCTTTTGGTACAACACAGTCTCTAATTGTTTGATTGCACAAAATAAGAGTCAAGAAACTCTTGGTTGCCCTGCTGTGGTTTCTGGTGCCTTATCTAAGAACAAACTTAGCAGTCAGTTATTATATCCTACCGTTCTTGCGATATGATAGTAAATACATCTGCAATAACGCAAATGCTGGGTGCAGTTTTTCTACAGTTCAAGACTAAGTACTTAGGTCTGTAGTAGGAAAGCAGGTACTTCCTATGAGACTGCAACAATGCCTCAATATCCAACTGTAGATGTAATTATTTTTCGCCTTTGCACTTCCTGTGGTCTTGGCTAGATTAGCTTTTCAGAATTAGGTCCTGAGTGTTTTCCTTCAGAAAGCTCTGGAATAGCAGTGAGGCTATGGGACAGAAGGTTATTACACAGAGAACTAGCTTGTATTTGCTAGTACATTAAATTTCAGTGCTTTTTGTCTGGTCTTTGACTTGTAGATCCAAGGGAGCGAGTGAAAGAAGATGACTTGGACGTAGTCCTAAGCCCACAGAGGCGAAGCTTTGGAGGTGGCTGTCATGTAACAGCAGCTGTTAGCTCACGGCGCTCGGGAAGCCCATTAGAAAAGGAGAATGATGGTGTCCGTGTTATTGGTGGCCGTAGGATTGGCAGTGGAAGAATAATCTCTTCTCGTAACTTTGACAAAGACCACCGGGGTGGTGAGAAGGACATACGTGACCCTAGAGATGCAAGAGACCGAGACCGGGACTACAAAGACAAACGCTTCAGGGTTTGTTCTTTTTGTGGCTGTATGTTAAATCAGAGGGTTTGGATGCTTTGCTGTAAAAGCAACAGAGGCAGGCTGACTGCATACAGCACCTGTGTGCCACACAAGTAGGCCATTTCTTCTTAGAATCACCCTTATAGTGTAAAGGGTGAGCATTCGGTGCTTCAAAATAAGTTTTGAGGCCTTTAGACTGCTTAACTGGCACGTGTCTAATGCTGTGTGTTTCACATACCTGGCCTGTGGTAGACTTAATAGCAAGCTATTAAAAAGTCTAATAGTTCTTAACCCAGCAGTTGTCAGTGAGGGGTTGTCTTTAACCTCAGCAGATGGAAGCTTTTCATGCTTTCAGGCATTTCTGTTTTTCTTTTAAAGGAGGAACCACTAGCCTAACTCTCAGGATGCAAAACTGAGTTTATACAGGTACTTGCAGACCAGTAGCCTTCAGTGTAATGAAGTAGAAATTCAACTATAAAGCTTAACATTGAAAAGCTTACTGAGCATGTGGAGTGTGTCTATTAACCTTGTTTAGAAAACTAAAACAGAACTGGTGTGAAAAGGTTGTCGCTTGCTTTGAGGTCAGGGAGAAATCTTGTGAAACAGCATTTTATGGTTAATGTTTTTAACATCCCATTTCAGAGGGAATTTGGTGACAGCAAACGTGTGTTTGGGGAGCGAAGGAGGAACGACTCGTACACTGAAGAGGAACCCGAGTGGTTCTCTGCTGGTCCTACGAGCCAGTCTGAAACCATTGAGCTCACAGGCTTTGATGATAAAATTTTGGAAGAAGATCACAAAGGCAGAAAACGCACAAGGCGACGCACGGCCTCACTGAAAGAAGGTAATGGCACCTCTGACAAGAGCTTTGCTTGGCTGCTAGCGTGGCATGTTGCTGGATGTAGAGGTGACTGTTACAGGTCAGGCAAGTGTAAAGAATAATGCCGTTTACCAAGCTTTATCTTAAACTTGCACTTAAGCTTTTGGTCTTCCTGAAGCAGGAGATGTAAGGCCCATAAGTAATTTTTCAGATTGCAAGTACCTTTAAGTGGTAAAATGCTATTTTTCTCAAAGAAAGGCAGAACTGAGAGGCTGGGAAGAAACGTTGTATGGGTGTTGAGTGATACCAGGGATTTGTAGGCTATTAGAAGGGTCTTGTTCATATTTTTATCTTGCTAGGTGCTAAAGGCTTGGTTTAAACTAAGCTAATACCCTGAGAGACTTCAAATATTTTTCCTGATAGTAATACTAGCATTAGGAACACTGAGTTGGACCTACAGCTGGCAGAAATGTAGCTTAAAGCTGAATTTGGAGACTGTCTGCTGTCATTGGACTTCAAGTCTACAATTATTACTACCACTGCAAAGCTGTAGTATAAACTTTCTGAGGCAAGAGAAATGACTTCTTAATGCTAGAGATTCTGCAGGTGGACAGCCTAATCTGAGGAGTTTAGGTTTAGTTGTGTATTCACTTAACTAAGATGTAGTACAGTTTCAAGCATGCTAGGTTTGTAATTGTCACAGCTTTTACAGCACTCATGCAAGTTTATTGGGTCTTCAAAATGACATGGGACTTATTCCTGCTGGAGGAGGAGGAGCAATATTTGTCATGCGTTGGCATTAACAAGAATTCATGTCAAGTACCAGTTCTTGGGGAATCTGCTCTCAGGGACACCTAGGAAGAAGGCAGCTGCTGCTAAAGGATTCTTGGTGGAAAAACAGCAACAGCTCTTAACTTGCTGCAGCAGCTGTCTCTGCTTGGTGTGATAACAGCTGTCATGTTCCTCATACTTCCTGGGATGATCAGGATGCAATTACTTACACATGATTCAATGGCAATTCTGATTTTCTTGAAGTAGACAGTCTTAATTACAGACCAGAAGCTCTGTGCTACGAGTTTTAGTGGGTGCTGGTTTCTATTGTGGCAGACTTCAACCAGCACAGTGTAACTGGTGGAGTATCACATAGGTGGCTAGATTGGGCCTATGCTTCTAATTCCTAGTCAAATGCTTTGACTATTAAGGCACTGCTCCCACAGGAAACAGTGAAGTTCAGTGACTCAGCAATCACTTGATTTTTCTTTTTAAGGGATAGAATGCAATGGTGGAGTGGCAGAAGAGGATGAAGTGCAAACTGTCCTTGCCAATGAAACGCCAGCAGATCAAGAAGTTCCTAGGGAAGCTGTTTTACAAGAACCAGCTCCAGGAGAGTTTGACTTCAATGAGTTCTTTAACTTGGATAAAAGTGTTCCTGGCCTGGCTTCGGTGAGGGTTGTTTGTTTTTCTTTTAAGACTGGCTGTATTCATGAGAAGCATTTTTGCTGCTGCTGCACTCACTGAAAGCTTCAGCTTGTTGCTTTGTGAAAGTTGCTTTATGTGGTGTGTAAGTCTGAGATGAGCTTGCAGAAATTTAGCTTTGGAGTCTTAGGATGTTACTTTGAAGTGTTATTCCTGGGACTGGATCTGTCTCCTAAGAAGGTGTATGAGGCAAACTAGTTGATTATTTGCCCTTTCTTTGATCACTACTTGAAGACTCAAAGTAGCATCCTGGATGAATCTTCTCTGGAAGCATTATAGATACATTCAGAGAAGGTTCACTGGTCAAATTCAGTGTAGCTCAAAGCAGCCTTTTGCATCTAAGTTTGGGAATCACAGCAAATAGGATCTTCTGTTCAAGCTTTCTGGGAGGCTGTAAGCCTGGAGACACCTGACAAATATTGTCACTGACATATAGCGGTGTTCTTATCGGTACCAGTAATGTGGCTTAAATGATGTACGTCTGAAAGGGCTTGAATCTTATTGCTTAAATCTGTGTTGCGGTCAATTCATTGTTGCAAGCTGTTACTACAGAGTTAGGAAAATAAATATGGTGTCCTGATTCATGTGATACTCTGTGTAGCTAAGTCATAGGTGGAATGCTACTGGTACTTAGGAGCTAGTGGCAAGACCATGAGTAAGACTGACACACTGTTAAGTGTTTTCCAGTGTGGATTTTTAGCTGCAGCCATGATTTGATTGGGATTCTGGTACTTCAATTGATAGTGTGCAGCTCTTGAACACTTGATCTCTAGGGGTCATAGTGGACGATTGGTGTTCACTTTTTAGTATGAAAGCTGTAACCAGTCTGTTTGGTTTTCCCTATGTGCTGTTTTGTTTTCACCACAAGAAGAGCAAAGCAGGTCCAGCAAGTACTGACTAAGCATGGGCCTAACTTACAGACTGATTCTGTTCTGACCTCTCCAGCACTAGGAAGAAAAGCTATTCTTGACTGTTTGAGCTGGCATAACTGATTAGTAGATGGAATTTGAGTAAAAAGCTTAGTATTATGGAAAAGTAAATGTGGCTTGTTTGTTTTTTAAAATGTATCCTGATAGCAAAGACACTGGTCTGATACAGCTTAGAAATACATGGTTTGAAAAAAATGGAGGCCTTATATGGTCTGTAGTGTGAAAAAGCTGCTTCTGTTAAAAAGAGGTTTATCATGTAGTGGCAGTTATTTGACAAATACTTAGTGAAGAGTTTGTTTTCCCTATGGAAGATATAAATTGTGTCTTTAGAATTGACAATCTCATTTTCAGTGTATCAGCAAGATGGTGTCTCCTTTCAAAAGCAGGGAATTCACAAGTCACAAAATACCTGTTCATGAAACTTAAATAGGCAGGTATCTGTCAAAAACAATTGAATCACACTAGCCAGAGCATATTGTCATGCTCTTTGTCTTGATAATATGTCTGTGACAAGCGTTACAATAGATTTGTGCATTTCCTGACTTGGCTGTTTTAATTCTTCTAACATGTCAAACAGCCAAAACCAAATGGATGAGTTCTATCTTGGTTTTGCTGTTGTAAATAGTGTTGAGTGCCCCATGTTTCAGAGCAAGCAGCTTCTCCAGCAGAAGGAAGCTGTTCTTTCTTTTTTTCTAGAAGTAAATGTGCTGCGTGGTGCCTATTGAGCAGGCTTTTAGCTGAACACAAGGTAGGAGAAGCTTTAGTTTGAGTTCACTTTTATAATGTACTTGTAAGCCAAAGAAGTGAACAGTTGCTGGAAACTGTAATGACTTCTGACAGACTCTTAAAGTGCTGCTTGGTGACCTCAGTTCTGCCTGGAGGCAGAAGGTACTAGCTGCTGCTGCTGCTGCTGCAGACTCCAGGGACTTGAAGAATGCAGCCTTCCTACTCCCAGAACGGTTCAGCATATGAAGTGCAAGCAAGTAGCCCTTAGCTGCTGACCTTCTCCCCGAGCCCTTCTGGGCTGCTTGCAAGTCTTTGTACTTCATTCCAGGCCTTGGGCAAATCCAATGGCTCAGAGAACTCCTATGCAGCGACAGGGACGAACCCTGAGACATCTGACTTCCAGAATTACTCATCGTTATAATTTGTTCTCATTCTTGTGGCAAATGTCTCTTTTCGAGCACATCCATTTTGGAATGGTGTACTTAGTGGTCTTTGGATGCCCCGATTATGCTGGTTCGGTTACAGTTTGACTCTGAAATACTTGATATAAATAAAGGATGTGTGATGGGTTAGTGCTGCCTTGGTGGAAGTTAAAAAGGCAGTTCAGAGCTTTGAAACTATTGGAACAGCATTAAGTTATCTGTAGGAGAATAATCCTGATAGCACACTAAAGCTTCCCCAACGTTGCTGATCTTGCTTCAAAAAAGATTATCTTTTTCCCTGCCTAATCTAGATGATAGAGGATGTGCTGGGGGAAGGCTCGGTGTCTGCCAGCAGGTTCAGCAGGTGGTTTTCTAATCCGAGTCGCTCTGGAAGTCGGTCAAGCAGCTTGAGATCTACACCACATGAGGAACTGGAAAGGCTAGCAGGTAAGACTGGGACAGTGCAGCGTCAGGTACCCTCTTTCCATATACCTTCCTACTGGTTCAATAAAAACATGGCAGATAAAGCTTTAGGACAGTGAATTCTCCCAGCTTAAGCCCTTGATGTTCTTCTTGAAGCTCTTACAGTAAGCAGCTTGTAAATTAATTTTTAATAATTGTTCTTCTCGTGCTTTTTAATGACTTTTCTGATGACTTTCCAGCTGACCTCGGGCAAGGGGTGCAAGGCATAACTGATCAGTGCCGTACTCAAGTTGGTTGCCAGCGTGTGTTCATCTTGAGACATTGGGTTGGTAAACTGATGTCGCAGTGCTCCTGGTTTTGCTGTTTCAGGTCTAGAGCAAGCCATTCTGTCCCCTGGCCAGAACTCTGGAAACTACTTTGCTCCCATTCCATTGGAAGACCACTCTGAAAACAAAGTGGACATCCTAGAAATGCTACAGAAAGCCAAAGTGGACTTAAAACCTCTTCTCTCAAGTCTTTCAGCCAACAAGGAAAAGCTTAGAGAGAGCAGTAAGTGCCTCTTCAGATATTGTCAAGTTCTGGTGATGCAGTATCTCAAGCCAAGAGGCGTGGTATTCTGGAAACTTCCAACTGCTAAGTCCAGGAGTAGGAAGTACTATAGGTTTACTTAGCACTACTGGAAACCCAATATTCAATAGGTCTCAGTTGTGAGAATCATCCCTGATTCTTTTCATCCTACTCACAGGATGACATCAGGACTCTATCAGACCGCCTTACTGGCCATTAATAATCATAAGTTAAGATGATATAAGTCTTGATCTGAGTTTCCAGCTTTGTTCATGTCATTTATATTTTCACATTGGAGAACGGTAATGTCAGCTCTGAAACTGTGGCATTTGAACTCTGGGTTTACCAAAACCTTAGTGTAAGTCATCCCTGCAAGCATCTATAATGGATCTACCAAACCTTTAGTGCAAGTTGTTCTTGCAGGCATCTGTAATGGATCAATATGGTTCATCAAGTATCAGTATCTAAGAAGATGAACAGTGGGTTGAGGATGTCAGTTTTTTCAAATGCATACTATAAACTTGAACTTCTCCAGACTCTTGCTACCACTTGAAATGGAGTGTCTGTGCTCACTGATGACTGCATTAATTAATGTGAACAGATTTGCCTTACTGATGTCAATCTGGCCAGAATGACAGGATTCTGGGGAACTTGGTCTGTTAGGATTCACTTTTGCTATGATCGGCTGTTTGAAACAGAATTCAGGGCTGACTTCAAACTTAATGCTCAAAAGCACCTCCAAGTTAGGGATTTGCATGTTTGGGCCCGTAGCATGCATGGAGGTTACAAAGTGCATGTGTTCTTTGAAATCGCAAGGTCTAATTCCGAATTGACTCCTTCTGGCAAGCAGCATGTATTGCCATGTAAACCAGACTGAACAAAAAGTAAAGGTGCTCTGATGTGTGTCGCTAGGAAGGAAAGCATCCAAGCACTGTGCATATTCATAAGCATCCAGTCTGGAAGTATGGAATGTCAGCTAACACGTGGAGGACATTTTCATAACTTGACTTAAATGGAAGTGCGAGTCTTCTGTGTTCTGCTTAATCTGACTTCCCTACTAAAAGCTTTTTAAGCTTTGATCCTCGCAAACAAAGGATGAGCAAACAAAACATTGGGGGAAGCTTCATTCACTCAGAAGTACCTGATGTGGGTTCTGTATTCCCATAAAATGCTGTACAGTTCTTCAAGTGTTACGAAGGTTTCAGGTCAATTTCTCTTCACCAACATCATATTTTTCCTCATGTTCCATGCTGCATGTCTGCATCATTGCTTCTTTTCTCCACCTTCTTGCCCAAATTTCCGGTAAATCTTACTTCTTTGGGCCAACATCTGCTACAGCAACCCATGGCATGCTCCTGTCTCTTCTTTCTTTTCTCTTAAGGTGTCATCCCTTGTGATTTGTGTTAGCTGGTCCATAAAGCACATCTAACCTTGATGTCAGGCGCTGGTAGATACTTATATATGCATACCCAGAGGAAAAAGTACTGCTTAATAACACTTGTACCTTACTCTGGTTATGCCCGTGAAATCTTGTAGTGGCTTTAACTTCTGAGAAAGAAAAATCCACTTCAAACTTTACACGCAGCAAACAATATGTTGTAACTGACTCTCCAAAGTACTTAAATACTCCAGGTATGTATTCTCTCTACTTACGATGGCTTCAGACAATTTAACACTTACACTGTCTGTCTCTCCTTGAGTATAAGATAAATGGAGCTTTCTTAATAGAAACTGAACAGAGGTGTCAGATGAATAGTCAGATGTGGTTTGACAGCCAGTAAGAATACCAGAAGATAAGGTTTTCTGTTCCTTGTTTTCAAGCAGTTTGTATTCAAGACCTGCATGAGAGAACTGTGATTTACTGTTCTTTCTCCTCTTTCTCAGCACATTCAGGAGTTGTACTTTCAGTGGAAGAAGTTGAAGCTGGGCTAAAAGGTCTGAAAGTGGATCAGGAGGGAAAAATTGCTACTCCGTTTATGGCAGAGCAAATGGAGGAATCATTGAATGTCGCTGGCTCCAGACAGATCAAGAAAGATGGAGATATGACTGCGTTTAATAAACTGGTCAGCAGTATGAAGGCAAGTGGGACTCTACCTTCACAGCCCAAAGTCAATGTAAGTAACAGACACCTGGCTCTCCTGAACTGTGCTAAGACATGGGTTATGAACTGGAAATCCCTTACATGACCCCTCTGATAACATGAGCCAGGACTGGATACAGCAGCATGATATTAAATGTAGGCTTACATTTAGAGTATCGTTGCTTGGAGGGGAAGGGAAGTGCTGTGGTCCTTTTAGTTAATCAAATTAAGTGTGTTTCAGTTGAGAGTTCACAGGGTTGATTTCATGTTAAGTTTCTAAAAGCCCTAGAGTGTTAATATTATACGAGAAGTCTGATTGCCCCCTTGAAAGTGGACTTATGTGGATATCTAATCCAAAGGATTAATACCTGGACTTGAAAACTATAAATATTTGCCCTGCAAAAAATGTTGTGTTGCAGAAAAGCTGAATCTTCTATAGAGGACACTTTGATTAGTAACATTCTCCTACACTTGAACTCATACTGTCTGAGCCTTACTTAATAAAACCAAGCTCATCTGTAGAAAAGGTACTGTCTGTAGAACAGGCATTGGTCTGCCCTTCATGAGAGACTCACTAGTGTTAGTTTAATGGTTACCTTAGTTTTTTTACCAAAAGGCATCTCTTAAAATGTTTGTGGTATGGTTACAGCTAATACTTAACTGAAGCTTAGGTGTCTTGCTTTAGTGACCTCTGTTTTAGTTATGTCAGTGCACATGCTAATACCTCTTAACTTGGATTTTAAAACTATTTGCCCCAAGATAAAACTAAACTGAATATCTGTTACCTGAAAGGTTACTATTAAACAAAAGATGATACTGGACTTCAGACTGGAAGAGATTGCAGTGTAAGATTTCATCCTGCCACTTACTGCCTAAACAGTATGCTTGACTCTGAAGCTACCAGTTGCTGCTACTGGCACCATATAACATATCTAACAACTGAGCAAGTTTTTTCCTCCTGAACTACACACAAGGACTTTCAGTCTCACCCCACTTCACTAAAAGATAGTGAAGAATGTAAACTTGCCTTGTGAAGAACTTGTAATTTCCCGCTGAAGTCAAGACTTCAGTTTCTGACATCCCTTTACATGGACATGTAACTTTGATGCATAGAAATACAGCTTAAATAATTAATATGCACGAACTGAAAGGTGTTTGTGTAGTTTCAACTGACCACTTGGCCCAATGCTTCGTCTCCAATTTACACAATTACATAGGTATATGTATCTGAAACTTGATTACAGCACATTCAACTACGGGTGTGCAATCTAGCACTAGGCACTTCTTAGTTAGGAAATATCTGTGAGCCAGCTCATCCCTCAACTTTGCTGGAATTGTATTTGACTGATGCATAAACGATGGTTCTACCAGACCAAGGGAAGTTATTTCTGAGACCAATGCAGATGCAACAAGTGCATCGAGAGACAATCCACGGTTGATTTACAATGTGTTCATTTTCTTAGCAGAGCCTTGAGAGCCACCTCATGTCACCTCCAGAGATGCCAGGCCAGCCTCTATCAAAGAATATTCTGCAGGTACTTCTTTGGGGGGGGGGGGGGCGTTGGAGGGCCAGTACTTCAAAGCATATCCACAATGAGAAGAATTATTTGAAACGAAGGTATTTAAGGCAATGATGGGGTCAGTAGTCAGACATGACTCTCTAGAGGGAGAGAACTAGTTTTTAGTTCAGTAGAAATTGATTGTCATGCTATTTCCCATGATTACAACTTGAAAAACCTGGCTAAGTACCTAATTGTAAGGGCAGTCCAGAATTGGTGTATCCAGTTGCACAAGTCCACCTTGTCTCTTCAGCTTGCTATAAATAGCCTGTAATGTAGTGAAATTAGTTCCTTTGTATAAGTTGATCATACTCAATATTCTTTCATTGCTTATTCTTAGGAACTTCTTGGTCCACCCATTACCAGACCTGCTTCATCAAATGTCTTAAGTGGCCTCATAGGTGGTTTGGAGCCTGCATCGTCTTTACTGACACAAAGAGCACCTTCTCCCCCTATCCCATCTGTGTTTCCAACTCGAGCTGCTTCTGCAGATTACCTGCGCCATAGAATATCTTCACCCATTGGTGAGACTGGTTGCAAAACAGCATTTTTTTTTTTGAGTTTTAAAGAATAATTTACAGAATAATAGGTTTCTGGCACTTTGTGGGCAACTAGGTCAGTGTCTGCCTCTTGAGTGCAAGATGCCTTTTTACGTATTAATTTCTAGTGTTAAATTAATCTCCAAAACAATACAGATGTCTGTGATGGATCAGCTGGACCTCACAGTAAATACTGGTGTGGAGTAACGTACGTAGTTACTGTATAAGAAGGTAATTTTCAGGGACTACTTACCCATTTGTATTGCAAAGCACTACCGGTAGTTCCCCTGTAGCTCTCCAGCCTAGTGACAAGGAAGAAATGAAGCTGTCTGTAGACTTAAAGCTGAGAGCCTTCCCAAGGAATTCTTAATGAAGTGGAACTGTTGAACTTAAGGATGTATGTTATATATTAATGAAAGAAACTGTTAGTCCTTTCAAATACAACTGTTGAATGTTCCTTAGGTTTTGGACAAGGTTCTCAGCAATTACTTGGTGATCCATTTCCAGGTGTAAGGAAGCCCATGAGTCCAGTTGCTTCACAGGTTAGATCAAATGGTTTTTGCTTCATCTTTTTATATTGCATGGTCTAGAACTAACTTGTGGAAACACATACTTAGCTGATGCATTCAGATGTTTGTGCTTATTTAAGTTCACTGAGTGTGAGGATGCAAGTAATGTAGTACAGTTTCAAAACCTCATTACAGTTGGACCCATCTTAGTACCTCCAGTGGAAGATTTCTTTGAGTCTTCATTGTCTGTCAATAAAACAGATGGCTGATGGTGGGCAGACACTTCGAAGCCAGAAGTAGTTACAGCAGTAAATCTTCAGTGTGTTTAAAAATGCCCAACCAAATCCAATCTTTAATTTGTGTGTTTTATACAATTCCACTTCAGATGAGTCCCTTGGAAATACAGCAAGCTGCATTGGAGGGACTGGCATTACCACATGACTTAGCCATACAGGCAGCAAACTTCTATCAGCATGGCTTTGGCAAACCACAAATGGACAAAAGCAGAGATGGCTACAGAAACAGGTGAGTATCTGACTGCAAAATGTAAGGGGCTCACTGTCAACTGATTTTTAACATGAGTATTGTCTTTCACTAGCTATTAGTACTAGTCACTCAAGCTTGTATTGGTTCTCAGCAATCCTGTGTCTCATTCTGTGCCAAGAGTAGAGCTGCTGCTTACTAACTTCCTGTCCCTTAACAGGCAGCAGCGAGTGACTAAGTCACCTGCACCCGGACACAGAGGGAATGCATCTTCTCCAGCCCCTGCAGCATCCATCACTAGCATGGTTAGTACCTAATGCATGAAGATTGCAGGGAAAGCTGTAAAAGTGCCTGTAGTAACTCGGTTATAACAATAGTAAATTGATGGGAGAAAGGGAGGCCATAGGGATAAGTCATATTCACATTGTATCAATGGCTACATGATCCAAGAACAAATTATGGTTTGTGCTTAACCTAATGTCTTCACTTTGGAAAATGGCCTTCTCTGAGCACTATCTCTTCTAAGACTGAAGAAGCACCATTAATATTGCCTCTTCTGAAACAAAAGGAAGAAAACCATGAAAACTCAGGCATTCAGGTTTGGTACTTAAGCTTTCAGAAGACAGTTTCTGAAAGCCATTAGCTACTTTAGAGAGCACTGGTATGAAGAGACTGATCTAAGTGTCTGAGGTTGAAATATTGTTTGAGAGCTCTAGGGTTGCTTTGAAAACAAATAAGATCTCAAAGCCAAGCTGTGGCCTCACTGCCATCAGTACTGTGTAGAATGTTGTTTTGATCTAAATTTGATCAGTCAAGTACTTGCTTGCAGCTCAGGACTAACAGACTCAGCTGCTAAATCAAATAAGCACTTCTGTTTGTATTCCAAGTGAGTGGCTTCCACAGGTGCTCTGTAACTGTGAATGGGCAATAGTTTTCTGCAGATCCATCAGCCCTGAGCTCATACAGGTAAGGCAGCTCTGTAGGATCTGTTGCTGTTATGAACCAGTAGCAAGGAGGAAACAGCTGTAATTTAAAATACAGCTCATCTGTTTTTTTCAAGCCTGTTAAATGTGCATTCAACTTTGCAAGCATCTGCTGGTTTCAGTAAAGCTATTGGACTTTAGCAAAAGCTGAAGAGAGGTGCTTAAACCATAAAATGAAGCTATGGAATGAGGTGAAGTAAAATCGTGGGCACACAGTGGCTGATTGAGAAGAGCTTGAAATGGGAAGGATGTGCTAGAATTGGTGTCCACCCACAACTAAGTGTGGCCTAGATAATGAGCACTGAGTAAAGGTGTTGCTTCTTACTATGTTCTCTGCAGCTGTCTCCTTCCTTCACACCTACCTCGGTGATTCGAAAGATGTATGAGAGCAAGGAGAAGAGCAGAGAGGAGCCAGCTTCTGGGAAAATGAAAGTCAGTGATGGTAAAGATGAAAATCAGAGGCCAAATGAAGGTATTGTAATGGCTTTGAAGTCATATGTACAAAAGAGATTTGGAATAGAATCAAAGACCTGCAGTACATAATATGCCTAGGCTAAATTTAGACATTCCCAATTTGTGGAAATGAGGAGGGTGTAGAGATGAGCCTGTAATGAGAGGAAGGGTTAGAACTGTGGAGAGGGTACACTTCCAAGTGCAGTGTTGGGTTTAAATCCATTTTTTTTTCCCCTTATCTGTCATTTTGTAAGTGATGGTGGCACTAAGGCCTGGACCAGAACTGTTTCTTTGCAATTGGTCTTGATGAACAAGCATATTAACAATAAGGCTTTGGTGTGTCCCCACACCAGTCACTGAATGCAGGCAATTTACAGCCCTCTTGAGACATCTTACAATCAAATCTGAGACCAATTAAGCTCTTCTAAGATCTGTAGCAGATCAAGGAAGCATTTTGTCACTCTAACCGATGTAAGTGGCTATTAAAAGGAAATGCTTGATGCCAATTGCCTGACCCAGTAGGGCAGACATGTCTAATTGCCGTGATGTTTTGCTTCAGTACTAGTAACCACAGAGGTAGTTCAAGGTCCTGTTACACAGTGGACTTTTTTCCTTTTAGTGCTCCAGCTATTACTGCTACTTCAGCTGGTAGCAGATGACTCAAAGATATTTTAGGCCTTGCCTAACTGATTTAGGTGGTCTGTGGAAGTAGCTTCTTGTGCTTTAGTGTCCCAAGCCTTGATAAGCAGATGTCAGACATAAAAGGCTGCTGCTAACCCCCAGACACATCTAAACTGAAAAAGCACTTTGGGCTAGATTTGTGCCACAACGGCAAATGATAATACTGTCTACAGAGGATCCCTTGTACCTTCTGTTGCCTTTAGGACCGATTCTTCCATGTTACCAGCTCAAAATCTTTTGAGAAAGAATAGAAAATAAAAGGCTGAGTTACTGCCAGTTGTGACCTAATTTAAGCTTGCTGGCAAGGGATTTCTTCTCATTACTGTTTTGGAACATTCCTTCTCAATACTGTTTTGAAATCATTTGGCTGAAAGTATCCAGGAAAGACAGATGCTTATTAATACATGACTCAAGTTCAGTTAGTCCTGGAATCTAGCTATCAAATCCAGTTACTAATTTTCATTAGGGGTCATCCCTAGCTGTGGACTATAATAGTTGTATTCAATTCTAGCTACAGATAACCTACTGTCTAGTTCTCTGGAGAATGCAGATCAAGAAACTTTGCCCACCTTAGGTACCAAACTACCCGCACTGCAGCGCTCTGCATGTTCCACACCTCTTACCCAAGCAAATCGTTGCACCAAAGAGCAAGACTACAGGCCTAAATCAGCTGGTAGAAAGACTCCTACAATGGCCTCCCCAGTACCAGGAGGCCCTTTTCTTCGTCCTGTTCATCAAGTACCCCTTGTTCCCCATGTACCGATCGTACGACCTGCTCATCAACTGCATCCAGGATTGGTCCAGAGAATGCTGGCACAGGGGGTTCATCCGCAACATCTTCCTCTGCTGCAAGCAGGTAATCCATACTTACTTTTTTCTCCTTTAGGCTAATGCATCTTCTCTGTAAGACTGATTTTTGTTAGCACAAATTGAAACTCACTACTGGTCATATTTCTTACATGAAAACTTACCTTTAAAACCAGGCAATAAATTCCAGCCCATCTAAATATATAAATGCTTGGTTTGCTTTAATTTCTTATGCTTATGGGGTAAAGCATTTCCTTGCTCTTTTTCAACAGGTATGCTTCCACCTGGAGTAGACCTGTCTCACTTGCAGGGAATATCTACTCCCATCCTTGGCCAGCCTTTTTACCCGCTACCAACAGCAAGCCATCACATCTTAAATCCACGCTCTGGGACACCTTTGCAGCTAGCGATGATGCAACAGCAGCTACAACGATCAGGTAGGCTTAACATAAAATAGGAGTAAGAGCACTAGACCACTGACTGGCCTGCCCCAGATGCTATACTTGTTGCCCTTTTTGAGCATATTCTGAAGCTACTTTAATTCAGATACTCATAATTGCTTCTGTTGTGTGGGTACTGGAGCAGTTTTGGTGACTGCAGACTTTTACCAGCAGGTCCAAGTGAGGCATTAAGTTTCAAGATACATTTTGCTCCTAATATCTGCCTTTTGCAGCTTGTGTGCAGTCTTCATTGCTGGGTGAGAGGCCTCTTGCCCAATCTAAAACAAGATGCTACTTGCTGCTGGCCTTCCAGTTAAAACCTGTGTTATGCTGTCCAGAACTGGCAGTGTCAGGCAGTTTATGGGAGTATTAATGAGAAGAAACATGCAGCTGAGAGTTCCCAGGACTAATAGCATCAGTGAAAGCAATGTTTGACTCGTGTGCCTTATCAGGTGATTGCTCTAGGGTGAAATCTTCAGTGTTGGGTGAGCATTACTCCACCTCTAATAGCTTTACATTTCACAGGCACTGGAGCACAGGGATCACCCGCTGGTGCACAGACAACCCCCCAGAACGTGCTGCCTCGGACTGGGTTATCTCATGGGCACACACAGCTTGAGCATCGCCCCAGCCAGAGGAGTGGCTCTCCCATTGGCCTTGCAAAGTGGTTTGGTTCCGATGTCTTGCAGCAACCTCTTCCTTCCATGCCATCCAAAGTCATCAGTGTAGATGAACTGGAATACCGGCAGTGAACAGTGACCACTGGGTGGAACACTTGTGATTCTTTAGGTTGGATAAAATGTCCATAGTCAGGACTTCACCTCTGTTTGGGTTTTTTTTGGGGGGGTCTTTTTATTTTTAGCACTCTGTGCAAAATTTCTTTTTGAGAGACTAAAGCACATGGCACCTGTCCTGGTCTCATGTCTGCATCAAGACTAAGGGATCCATTATGGCTTGAACAGTGAAGCCTGAAGAAATTCAGATGCAAGACAAAGCCAGTTTAATCCTGGAAGTGTCTATTTTTCTTTTTGTAAGATATGTGAATGAAGTGCTGATATTCTCTAGTGTAGAGGTAGCAGCTATTGATTCCTCCTGCAGAAAACTAAATGTATAGACCCTTGTGTACAGACTTGTGTATAAACAATCTTTTGTATATATACACATAGACTAGCCTTTTTGAATCTATACAGCTGTACATAAGAGTAGCTGATAACAGTTGAGCTTTAGTTGTGCCTATGGTTTGGATCTTTCTCCATTGTGTGTGTGGGACTTACTTTAAGATTAAAGTTGCATATCTTAAGTGTGAGTGAACAGGATAAAGTTGCTTTGCCTTTTCTTGCTGCTCATCTCCTTTGGGCCTCCCTGTCACATTCTTCTGTCACATACTGTGCACTCAGTGTAGCTGAAGTGTCAAAGTAAAAAGCCCACATCTTGCTGTCTGTAACAGAGGTCTGACTCCTTGTGTGTGTGACTCCTGCCACCAAATCAAAGAATTGTTTAGTCTTCAAACAGCCTTGGTGATGGAACCTGGTACAGTAATGATGAAAGTCAGATCTCCAGTCTGCCATGGAGGCTGTAGGAACCTGCTGGTCATGGCTCTTCTGAGAGGGCTGGTGCTGATCCTTGTTTAACTGCAGTATATTCCTTGTTTTAATCTTTCAAACCTGTTATTAAAGGTCATCAAAATGGAGCCTTTGAATCCTCACCCTTCAGCTCCTAAGTCATAGCTGTGGTATGCTCTGTGCTGTCTCCAGCTCTGCGTAGAGAAGAGAGTCCCAAGAACTGTCCTCAGTCTAGTGTGCATCTACTGATGCAGTTACTGTGAAACTTGCCTTGGAGTCTTGTTCTGCGGCTTGAAAGGGAGAGGATGGGGTACTTTTGTGATCTTACTGTGTATATTTGGTTTTAAAATATTATGTTCCTTTTAAGCCTGTTTCACTTTCCTTGAACAGTTAAATGTTCTCTTCCGTCTTCCTGCATGGCTCCTCACGTCACTATCTCACCTGTGTTGAGTCTAGTCCTGCTGTCATGTCCCCTCTTTAGCATAGGCCTGTGTGCTCTTTTAAAGGTGAAAGCAAACCCAGAATTCTCACAGACTTGCTCTTTCTTGGGTCTCACTGAATGCAAAACCAGCAGTGGGGCGGGGAGAGGGGGGAGTCACTTGCCTGTATTATACCAATTGCCAGCATGCTGTGGTGGGTTTGTTTCAGTCTGGCAGAGACAATGTTGTACAGAAATAGCAAGCTGAAATCTCCAGTGTGGAGTCTGTTGGGGGTCACCCGTATACTCCTAGCGGTTGTTCCTAAAACAATCTGTGTAAAACATGCAATCACCAGCTTGTCCTTGTAAGATTGTTTTCATACTTTTTTAACTTGACACTTTCCCAGTAACTTTCTGTAAATAAAGTGGATTCTACCAGCTCTCTGTATCTACTGCTCTTGAACTAAAGTACGTCAATGCATTGAGTTTTCGCATTGTTTGAGCTGAATCTGCAGTGTATTTCTATGGGGGGAGAGATATAACTTGGAAGGTAACTAGCTTCACTGAAGCCAGACAGTGGGATTGCTGCATATAAATGTAGTTTTGTACAGCCGTGGTTAAGTGCAAGGAATGAGATTTTGGTGTATTAGAGGAACTCCTAAACCTTCCAAGCCATAAAGAAAGGGTGATTTAGGTTCACTGTTCACAGTCAAGGCTGATAACCCAGCTACATCTGCAGTAGCTCAGCTCACTTAATGCAGGAATTTACTTTTAAGACTAGGAAAAAATGTTAGGGAAATAAATGCTCAAAGTAGAATCAAGGCTGATTAACAACCACTGTTGTAAGCTTTAGTGATTTATCGCCCATTCAAACACTACTTTTATAACCGGTATAGTAACATGAGAGATAGCTCTACGTCCTTTAGTCCTGTTTGTAAGATACAGTTCTCCAACCTCTGCTCTTCATGTTTTGTTCTAATTTAGAACAAAGTAATTCCTGGCATGTGAACTTCTCTGTAATTTGGACAGATGTGTACATGCAGCAGACAATCATCCCAGGCATCAGCATTTCCCTGTATGATTCTGCCCTTGTGAAAGTCATTTAATGCAAGTTTCTCATCTGTGAGTTCTGCCAGAACAGGACGCTGCAGCATGACTTGGCTAGAAATACCAGCTTACCATGCAATAAAGTATAAAACAATACTAAAAAACCAATACCCATTTGTTAAAGGTTTTCATAGAACCAGCCTCTTTGCCATTTGCACCTAAAGACAAATTTCAGGCCCAGCAGCAAGCTGTGTGAGAATGACTTTATTTCTTCACGATCTGAATAACATCTTCATCTTCCAGAGTATGGTCTTTACCAACCTTCTGAGGGTTGTGTTTAACAGATGAACCCCAGACCAGTGCACTGAAAGGAGAAAAAAAAAACCTCAAGTTTAAAAGGCACAGAAGTGTAGCATGCCAACACTGGAACAGCAGCTATTTCTGTCACAAAGCTAATACAGAAAGCAATGCTTAAGAGCTATTTTTATTCTCCTGCAAGTACCTGGATGAGGGGGCTGTGTGAACCAGAGTACCAGCAGATCAAAACAAACCATGAAGTCATCCAAAGTACTTGTGCATACAGGACAATGGCCTGGAAATGCTGCCTTCAAATATTTCTTCCCCACAGAGGAAATTTATCCAGGAAAGAGCACAGGAACATCAAATACAGTAACTTGTCACAGGCAGAACAGTTCCATCAGCATTAAAAAAAATCTGATAACTCTTAAGAACAGATCAGGAGGTAAATTATTTTCTATTATCTGTTAATTTTTCCAAAATACTACTTACTATTTAAAGTCTTTGATGAGATTTTTGTGGATCTTCATGCAAAAATCCTCCACTGTGGTCTTGCAGTAAGGTAGTACCACAGGAGAGGTGTAGTCTGGGAGCTGCCCTTTAGGTTTGGTGTAGCTGTAATGCAGATGGAACAGTCAATACCAAAACCTCCTATCCTCTTTCAACCCATCATGAAACCTCATAGATCACTTGCACTGTCATCCTTGTGCCAAGTTCCACTGTTTCAGTGGTGACAATAGATACTCTGTAAAGTGTTTGTTCCTAAGCTGAAATTGCATCTGGGTAACCAATGTCTGCAGCACGTTCTCCCTTGATAAACCTTGCAAAGGTTTATCACTAGTGAGCTTAAACAATGATGAAACTGGAAGTTTTGATGGGAAAAACACCTACACTATTATAACTGCAACTCATGTTTTTTTGGGAAAAGCTCAACAGATACTGGGAAAAAATCTGACAAAGCTACAGCCCTGATACCTAAGCATTCTAAACCCCTTTTTACAAGAGATGTTATATTGTCAAAAGAAGGTAAGATACATGTAGCAGGACTATTGATAGCTTCATTCATAAATTTATCCAAATAAATGCACGAGAAGTATGAGGTAAACCTGGAATAATTTACAGTAAAAATACCAAAAAAGCTAGATGAACTAAATTCAGTTCAGTTAAAAGCTGAATGCATGACAGCCTGAAGAGACCACCCCTGCAAGTCACAACTTTGCACTGAGTTTGACTAGAATTCCATGTGTTCAGGAATTTTTCAAGATGTACTTTGGCCTTGGTTTCACAAGGTGCTTGTTTAATTCCCCAAGTTCAAAACACAGCACTTGTGACTTTAAGGAACTGTCCATCACAATACAGACAAGAAGAGTATGATTTCTGATTTACAGAGAGAATGTACTTCAATGACAGAAGAAATCATTGGAAAGCTGGAGCTCTAAGCTAGTAGAAAACCCTTATAAAACAATCATCATTCATCCTTTCTTGAGACATCCTTCAGTCTCAGCCTTACAATGAAATCCACAGAAGACAGTAACTGGGACTCACATCCGTACTAGCTTTAAGTAGTCCCAAATTTTCTCCAGCAGATCATCGAAGTTCCAGCGATGATGAGCAGATATTGGTACACAGTGGGGTACTTTGTAAATAATATCTAGTTCCTCAATGGAAATTTGGTCAATTTTATTTAGGACATAAATGCACGGGATGTAAACCCTGCAAAGAGAAAGAAAACAGTTACTGCAGCCTAGCAGCATCAGCTACCTTCATCAGAAAGATCTCCCATCTCCCTGTGCCGATACCACATTGCTAACTTAGCTTCTATGGGAAGCAGAGGTGAGAAACAACTCTTTGCAATAGAAACTGCAGGTTAGAAACAAAGCCAGGAGCCCAACAGTACCTGTTTCCTTCAACAACATCAATGAGGTCGTCAGCAGTGGCGTCACTGCGCAGTGTGACATCAGCATTGTGAATTTTGTACTCTGCTAAGATGCTCTTCACTGTTTCAGTATCCAGCTCACTCTGAGGACACTGAATGTAAACACAGTGTTAAGGAATTGAGTTTACAGTCAATTCAACATTGCAATGAATAATGCAATCACTGCGGGTAGATTACTAGAAATAATAGCACTGTAAGTTCCTGAACTTGACCATGATTTGACTACAGTTAGCCTCAGAAGAGAGGACAAAAAAAAGGTTTAAATTCTAACAGCTTTATTTACATTAGCACCCACTGACACCTGCAATCAGACATTTCAGAAGCAATGTTTCCCGTCAACCTGGGAGCAGTTGCAATACAAACCCATGCATTTACCAGTTCAGTGCCCACACAGCTACATGTTACATGCTTAGATGCCAGGTATGAGTTCTGATTTTTGGTATTTATCTCTGAATTTCTACGCTTTTAAAGATTTGGTGGTAAATATGAAACGAGGAGCATTCCAGGTTGAAAGGCCGGAACTCCAAGCAATCCTCTGCAGAACAATGCTGTAGCCACCAAGTGAAAGGCAGGTTTTGTAAACTCTCCTTTGGACCTCAGAACCTGTTAATTGTTGGAAAGCAACCAAGCCTCTGATATGGGGCAGAGGAGGTGGTTGGGCTCCTGGGATAGGTATGGACAGCCTCCAGGACAAGTTAACTGACTGCAGCAGGAATGGTCCCAGGGACACCGTTAACTCCAAATGCCTCTTTCTTCAAGCAGTTTTATTATTGTTACTTAGGTTAAAGAAAACTTTCAACTTACTGTGGCTGTAAGGTTAATGCCTCCTTTATCCTTTTTTTTAAAGCCTATATTGGGAGGCTTACTATTCAGACGAATTCCAAATCCCTCCAGTTCATTCTCAATTATTTTCTTGTGACCAAGCGGTTTTAGCACATCCAGAACAATCAGAATGAGGTTACAGGTTCGAGCAACTGAGAATCACAGAAAGAAAGTAATCTCTCAATAAATGTAACACACGCAATCTGAGCCAACACAACACAAAATATGGCATACATTAGATGACATACATTAATGACAACATTAAAGCCCTGAAGGCTGGTTCATAGCATGTTTTTAAATTGCACTATGAGACTGAAGTTTGTAGTGCTGACCAAGCATCACTGACATGTAGATCCTTACATGTTATAAGAATCACAGAGGCTGGAAAAATCTTCCATCCTGTCTACATTCAGACCGCCGAGTGATGACAATAAGCTAGGTAAAGAAATTAAGGCACCAGCCTTGTTTAATATGGATCACATCTGCTTTCAAAACTGGTAACATACTTTGCACTGCAGTGTCAGTGCAGAGCAGGAACTCAGCAAATGCATAAAGCCAGAACTGAACACAGCACAAAACAAAAATGACACAGCACAAAACAAAAATGACACTACTGCTTCACAGCAGACTGCTCAATTCCAGCATTAAATTCAAGCTTTTGAAAGACATCAGAAACAGTGATTCAGCTTTTCATTCTCATAAAGGGTTCTAGCTAAATAAGAGATAGAATGATGCCTGCAGCTCTCATACTTACCTGCAATGACTTGCCGCCCTCTGCCTTTACCGTCCTTGGCACCTTCAATAATTCCTGGGAGATCAAGTAGCTATTTGTTCAGAAAGAGGAAAGTAACTTGTGAGAAAAATACTTTTCTTCATGGAGAAAATAAAACCTACTTTTACCTTCCTTCTAAACCAGCTACTGCAAATCCGAATAGAATGTGGCAAAACTGTTTCCTATATATTGTATTACTTCACATATCCTGTTGGTACAATGGAACAGATCATCTCATAGGGAATATGAGAACTCCCCAGAGCAAAGTGAGAAGCAGGGTAAAATTAGTTTTTCTCATGGAAACGTTTCCAATGTATTCTTGAGCTCTTTTAAATGTCACTTGTAATCTGCTAATGTCAGGCTGGACCATTCAGCCATAACACCACTGCATCTAATATACACACCATCTTACCCCCCCAGACACAAAAAAGATCTCACCTGTATCTTTGCTCCTTTGTATCTAATGACTCCAGGCACGGTAGTTAGCGTAGTGAATTCATACGCTGCCACTTCAGAGTATACACCAGCCAGATTACTTAGAAGAGTTGATTTCCCCACTGATGGAA